ACGAATACGTTTCAAACCCTACATTTCTTTGTGCACAAAAAGCATTCTTGTGTGCGACTGTTATTTAGAAGAGTTAACGTGATCAAAGTTGTGAAGTGATGAGCAGAGAAGTAAGTGGTGTCATTGCCTTCACCATTGTAACATATCTGGTTATCCGTGTAGGCATCGGGGAGGAGAACCTTGCCAAGCTCATCCAGCATGCAAACATACAGGCCGACAGCAACATCATCACCAACCTGCAGAACCTGGGCTGCAACATTATAGCTGGGGTAGATGTCTTTAATGCAGTGTGGTTGCGGTTTTCAAATATCATTTCCCCTTCAGTGTTTGTTACATGCGTCATGTTGTTTGTCAGGGCCGCAATGCTGGGAAAACACTGCCAGAGCGCAAGGACCGCACGGAGAGCACCTACCAGCTCTCTAGATGGGTTCCCTTCATCAAAGACGTCATGGAGGTACTAAAGCCCAAATCACGTGTCTGATGTTGCCGGCACACCTGCTACGTTTTGCCCTCAGATTTTTTTCACACTATCTGTGTTTCTGTAACGCAGAATGCCATCGATGACAAACTGGACCGAAAGCTGTGGCCATTCATCTCTGACCCTGCTCCCATCAACACAACTCAGACAGCAATCAGGTAGGTGCTGCTGGAAACAGATATGAGCTGGACGTTGTTACTTTATTCCAATTCACAATGAACGTAAATAAATAATTGGTTAATGAGTAATGAAACAAAAACATTTTGAAATGTGCCCTTTTGTTCTTATGATCCAAGGTAATACTCGTTCATTAGTTTAGTTCAGTTTATTATTTTGCTTTGTGGGTCTCTGTTCCTGTCATTTCTCACTCGAGGATAAACTTCCAAGAATTTGGTGGTCAAAGGTCTCTGTGACCTCTGGGCCGTGATTGTGCTTTTTAAAGCAGCAACAACAACGATATTAACTGGGGTAGCAGACAGATTAATGTTGTCAAATCAAAGCTTTTATCCCTGTAACTGAGTTAAAGCCAAGCTTGTGATGAAGTGAATCAAGGACAACAATAAATTAAGCCAGTTTTGCTTTGAATACTTTATAATCCCTCCAGGCAATTTTTATCTGGATTCACTTATAATCTGCATAAAGCACAATGCTTGTCCTCTTCCTTTTTAGCAAAGTGCAGAATTAAAACAGAGTAGTCAATAATGTTAATGCTATATATAACCGGACATGACCATTGAAAAAGAGGTTAATTTGATCTTTTTATTACACTATCAAACTCGTTAGCAGAGGTAGGAAGCAAAGCATCACAATAACACACACATGCAGTACTTATTCCTTTCACATCCTCCGCTGATTTTAAATAATGAGCCTTTTGCTTCCAGACTGGAAGAAGTTGTGTGGTCTGACATGCTGCCTTTAGGACTTATTAATTTATAAGATTTTCACACGTATTTACCAGAGCCAATTTCATGTGAATACTGTATAAAAGAAAAGCATTGCATACTATTGAAGTACTTGCTATTATTCAAATTGGGTATGATCATCGATGGATCATTTCCGTGTAATGAAACTGGCTGCTTAGCCCGTAGTTTTAGTAAAGTTACTTGTTGCTCATCTATTGTTTTAATTCCTTTTACAGCAGTGCACGTTTTGGACAGTGGCACAAAAATAAATCTCCAACAGAATATCGCTCCGGCCCTCGACTTATTATATTCGTGATTGGTGGGCTGTCGCATTCAGAGATGCGCTCCGCCTACGAAGTTACTCGAGCCACCGATGGGAAATGGGAAGTGCTGATTGGTAAGCGATCGCTGTCGAGCAGGCAAAAATTTTTGTCCCAAAAAATGCAGCGTTCAAGAAGTTTTGCCTCTTTTATTAAACATATTACTTTTTCCTTGACAGGGTCTTCTCACATCCTGACTCCTACTAGCTTCCTTAATGACCTGAAGAGTCTGGACCAAGTTCCTAATCCTGACTGTTAGATGGTGAGATCCTGAACAGGGTAGAGCACACTGGAAGAAGGGTTCAGTCTTTCATTTGAGATGATTGGTTGCTGGTCTTCTGTCACAGCATCTCTGTTGTCTGCAGTGAAACGTGAGGAGAAAATCTTAGATGTAGCCACGGAAGGAAACATTTGTGATTCTTTATTTTGTTTTAGAATGATCTTTTTATTGTTTGTTGTGAATTGGGCTCTGTATACTGTGATTGAAATTGTATTAAAATATTGCATGAGACATTAATAATATCTTGATTATTTTACTATTCTCATTGAAATTGTTATTTTTGTTACTACAATATATATTAGATTTTCCTTATTTTGTACTTAAAAATGTCGTCATTCCCTTAAAACTGGATCATCTCACAATACAAATCGTATCAAGTCTAATGTCGATGTATATAAGCCAATAGAAGTATGTAACATATATATATTCAGTGACATTAAGTATGGAATACTTTTTTTTTTTTTTCTTTTCTTTTTGCACAGTTACCATCTGCTTTAATATATTGCTTGGAACAAGTGTGGTGGGTGTTTGTTTCTTCGTTGTTAAAAATTAGTAATAAAAGAAACTTGATATTCACTTGAAATAGTGTCTTGTGCATAGTGTTCCAGTGGAAGTTCAGTCAGCATACATTTAAAAATGATCTCAACTCATGGTCCACTTTAAAGCTTTGTCCCACATGCTGATCCCAAAGTGAAAAATAAACTTCCATGCTCAGAATCGTTTTAAATCATTGTGGACGTCTCTTGACTTCGCTATTAAACCACCTCTAACATGCTATCCTAATATCCTTAACGTCCAGAGAATATACTCAAACCTCTCTAGTTTGAATATACTGTTTATATTATGTGGTCAATGTGGGCAGAACATTTTCAGTCCTCATAACTTATTTTTACAGCTTGGACCGATAAGTATTTTGACACTTTACGGTTCCGTTAATCACTCTACATGTTTAAAGTACAAGGTAATTTACCATTTGATCCTTTTCACCAGTATATCATACAGTATATGACTATTTTTTTTAAAGTATATTTGTATACAGGATTTGAGTTAGAAATGTTATTTTTATCGCAGTACCAGTTTTGTTAATCTCAATATCACAGCCTGGGAGTATGCCTATATGCAACATATATTTAAAATGTGGGGTTTAAGTATGGGGTTAGGTCAGAACGGAGAATATGTACACCTACTGGTGAAAAAGATCATCCCTCACCATGTTGAGGATTATGTTTTCATCTGGGATTACAGATGGTACTATTACGGTCAGGGCACTGGCTTGGGTATTAATGTCAATGGGTTAATACTCAGGACTTAACTCCTTTTAAAAGCTTTCCACCGAGCCTTATTCAGTACACATTTGGAGTAGCATCATTCAGGATCTTCATTTCCATTGCACATCAAATAGATACATTCATCACTTACTGCAAGTACTTTTGTGTAACTTTCTGTACTGTTTCACATTTCATCTTGTTTTCAGTAGGGGACACTTTCCCTTTTTTTTGTGTATTATTTTCTGTGATGGCAGCCGCTAAAGTGGATTCAAAATCAGAAGCTACCGACGCTGTGCAGGTAAGACCTTTGTAGCCAAACATTCATTCCTATGCCTGTAAGTTTGTGTACGTTTTGCCACTTCGCTTTGATGCCTTGTTGACTGATATTTTGGTTCTAATTGTATAGAATGGCATGAAGTATCTTATTACTTGTATACAGAGTGGTGTTTATTTATTGTAAGTGACCAAAAGAAGCAAACCTGTTAATGTTTATTCTTCTACATTGTATTTTATTTGTTTGCAATGTAAAATATTATAATTCATAACATTTTGATATTGCTTTCACATTTTGCATTGGTCACACTATTTGCTATTCCTTCTGCCTGATGTTCAACAGGAAGCCCCAGGACTTGATCAGATCCTCAACATAATGAGTTATTCACAGCGTGGGCGAATGGAAGAACAGCGTTGCTCCCTGAGTCCTGTTAAAACTGGACAAATTAAAACCACACCTGCAGGTTGGGACAGAAGACACAAAGATACTATTTGCATTGTACGTGTCCTTTTGTAGATTGTTAATTGTTTCACCCCTACTCCCCACAGGTTCAAAGTATGGGGGGAAACACCTTGATGAACTGCAAGTGTCATTGCCAGGGTTTAACTACCAGGTACTAGACTATAGGTTGTAAAGTGCTAGGTGCATGCACCTGCACAGCTGGTGGGATCAATAAATGACTGAAGTCTACCTCAAATGTGACTTGTTTTCTCAGGATCTGAGGAGTAATAACCATCACGGCTCTGCACCTCAGATTTCTGTGACAGAGAGTACTCCAGATAGAAACAGGAAGCATCTGCTGGTACCAGACAACCAATTACAGGTTCGCTCTGAGCATGACTGTACTACTTCTATGATAGTCTGTTCTGTCCCACTGTGTCATTCTTGTTGCTTTAATGATTGCAGTTTTTTTTCTCCTCTGGCCTCTTTGACAATGATATATGCATTATTGAATGTTGTTCATCCTTACTTTGGTCAAATCTTAATCTCACTGTATTTGCCCAATAGGAAGAATTACCTGATGTTAATGAAGAACAGAATTTCATGAATGTAATCAGCCATGGCCAGCGTGGACGCATGGACGACCAGCGCTGTTCCTTAGATCCTAGCAGGAGTGCTCCCTGCACACCCAAACACAGAAAGCCTGCGGCAAGTACCTCAAACACAGGTGAAAATTAAAACTGGCTGTATTCATCTCTGTGACCATTTCCAGAAGTGTGGTGCAATGTATGTAATTGCCTCTTACTTACCGTTTCTTCCCAACTGATCCAGTTTCAGACAAGTTGCATTTTTGTTTTTAAAGTTCTATATAGTTACTTAACTATTCCAGCTGTTTTCACATGTCATCTTCCCAGGTCTAGATTCTGAAATGTTGTTCAGCCTCTTGGCCAACACTCAGAGCCAACGGCTTGACGATCAGCGAGTGTCTCTTCCATCATTACCAGGATTAGGAAAGGAAAATGCCACATCGGCAGGAGGAGATTCAAACAACTTGTGTTACATGGTCTCTAAAGTCCAGGTTAGTAGTTCCCTTTATTAAAGAACTGAATATTTTACAGTTTTAACAGCAATTGATGAAAGTACCAAAATACTGTGGTGATGTTGGCTATGGCTTTAAATGTTGCACACATTTGAAATTAGATTGTGGACAAAATATTGCACAAATGGGATATAATCAGAATCAGAAATACTTTATTGATACCCGGGGGGAAATTGGTATGCTACAGTTGCTCTTATATATAAGCATAAAGAAATATAAGAAAAGTAGAAATAAAATAGAAAGGATGTATGTGTATACACAATGTATGTAGAGGATATAAGTAAATAATAAAGACAAGAAATAAGGAATGAGAAATATAATAAAATCTGTACAACTATATGCATGAGACACATACAATATACAACCACAATGTACCTCGTGAATCAAAAAATGCTAAGAAGTGGGATATAATAAATGTGCTCAATGCAAAAACTATAAATGGGAATTAGATATACATTTTTTATGTACAGTATACAGTATAGAACAGTTGAATTATTTTAAAATTTGTTGCAGATTTTTGCACAAAAAAGTAATACATTATTTTTGGGCTAAGTATGTTATGATCACATTCTTACATGAAGTCATTATTTGCTCAATGCTCTGTGGAACTCTATGTGTTAAAAGTGTGCCTCCTGAAAAGATGCTGAGACGTGCTGGTGTAATGCATTTCAGGGTTCCAGAATGGACGAGCAAAGGTGCTCTATACCTCAACTCCTAACCCCGGCAACCCAGTGTGCACCAAAAAAGGGTGCGTCTGGATCTGGTTCAGGCCCTCCACGTTCGGCCTCATTCAGCCCCGGCTCATACATAGAACGACTAAAGACTAAAGATAAAGCATCTCAAAAACAGGTATATGCTCAAGTCACTGCTATCATTTTTATCCCAGGAGGTAAATTACATTTATTTATGGAAACAATAATATCTGCAGTCTGAACACCCATTTGTTGTTTTGCAGATTATTTATTTACTCATCTAAATATGTACTGCACACTTTTTTTTTTCCATCTAGGCCTCGACTCCAGCTGAACAGGAAAACATTTTTTCCTTAATGAGTCATTTCCAGCGTGGGCGAATGGATGAGCAGCGATGTGTCTTAAATGTTAGTTCCCAGTCCACACCCAAATACAAACCCAGTCAGAGCACTGTGCCCAAAGGTTAGAATAATATGTTTGCTTTCCTGTTTTTATTCTTGCATTTAAGGTTTTTACAATGATAATTGAATTGATAACACATTTTACCTTAAAACTAATGCGTCTCTTTTTTCACTGTCCCAGGTCCGGATTCTGAAATGTTCTTCAGCCTGCTGTCCAACTCTCAGGGCCGACGGCTTGATGACCAGCGAGTCTCTCTTCCTTCGTTGCCAGGGATACAGAATGGAGGTACCACATCGACATCAACTGCTGCAGAGAAGGATGCAAGCTACTTGTGTTACATGGTCTCCAAAGTCCAGGTTGGTCCGATACACAGAACGGTGAAAAAAACATTGTGAAACCATTATGACAATAGTTTTTTGCAGGTGAAGAATATGTGCAACTGCTTTGATCCAACATTATAACAATGAATCCTATTTTTCTCCCACAGGGCTCAAGAATGGATGAACAGAGATGTTCAGCACCTCACATTTCCCAAAATCTGGGTACCCCATCTACTCACTGCAAAGAACATCCCAGTTCAGACACATCTAATAAACCTCCCCAAAAGTCTCCCTCCATAAACCGCGGCAAACCGGACCAACATGGGCAGGTGAGACGTCATGCTGCACAAAACACAGCTTATAGTTTTGCCAACACATCTACTCTCCTGTAATCGTATATATTCTCCAAAATAAGATGTTAAAATTACATCAGTGATGGTTAGGGAGGCTCCTCCTCCACAGTCTTTTGAAGAGAAAATGTACTTGTTTCATTTCGTCCTCTGATTTGTTTGTACAATTAATTTTTTCAGTGGCAGCCTCTATTTGCTAAGTTGTCTGTATGTTGTCCCACTTCTCATTGCCTTTCTTTCTTTAAACCTTTATTAGGAGACATCTGCTGACCAGGAGCAGTTCTTTAAAATGATGAGTCATGCACAAGGGCGACGTATGGAAGACCAACGTTGCTCTTTACAACCCGGCAGAAGTACACCTGCCACACCCACACACAATGGAAGCGCTTTAAATAGTAAACCCACAGGTCAGGAAAACACACGGGGAAAGGTCAAGTATGCGTTTTCTGTCTCTGAGATGTCACAGAAATAGCTCTCGTCTTTCTGTAACAGGTGCAGACGCTGACGCATTCTTCAAAATCATTGCCTCCAGTCAGGGACGACGGCTAGACGATCAGCGTGTTGCACTACATACCCTTCCAGGGATAAGTGGGAATGCTGAAAGAAGCAATGAAAATGGTAGAAATGCAAAGGCTGGAATCCCAGTAAGTTACACAACATTTATAATATTAGTCTTATAAACATAATGAATATTGCCAATTGTTGCTTAGTTCCTTGTCATTTTTATATCACACTCCCACATGATGTATGTCTGTCAGTTGAGTTAAAAAGATTTTGGAACATTTTAATATGGTTCTAAATTCCTGATGTGGAGCATTTTACTGTATTTGCATATCTGTATTTTATGTAAAGAAGGAAAGTATGTCGGCATGGAAATATTTGCTTAATTAACAGCCTCATACCCACAATTAATTATGATTCTATAAATCACAGCGGAGTACTTGACAGCTCAACTGCCTTTTGTTTTTATTTTTCTTCTGCAAGGCTTCTCCACTGCACATCCCCGTGTCTGAAAGTACACCAACAACATCAAGGAAGGACTGTTACAGACCTACCTCACCATCCCGAATGGCTTATGCAGAATCTGGCTCCCCCAGAGCCGTATCCAAATCTGCTTCATTTACCCTTGAGACAGAATATCAGAAAAAGCTAAATTCCCCAGCACAGGTGACTTGTTCATTCATATTCTTTTTTTATTTTAATACGCTAATATAAGGTCATATAAAGTAACGTCAGTAGACTGCATTACCAAAATGGTTCCTTCATGAGTTCAAATAAAGAACATCAAATTGTTGCAAGTGAAAAAATCAAACTTGTGTGAGCCCATAATTCGAAATACCACACCCATCCCCAGTTAAGTGTTTCCGTTAGGGTGGAAGTGATGCTCCTTTCTCAGATTCCCATGTGTGAGTTTTGCTGATAATGACAAATCTTGCTGCTTTAAGTGATTATTTTAAACTCTAGTCTTTGAACTGTTCTGCATTTGGCCACCAATGACTGAACAAAACAACTAAACATGCATCGCCGAACGACTTTGTATAGAACAATGACACGCTATTTCTTCACAGGTGACAGTGAGGGTGTCCATGAGCTTCGCACCAGAGCAGGTAAGCTGTGTCACCGCTTGTGTAGATTATGAGCTTTTTGCCTTCTATTGTCTATTAATTTCTTCATCTATGCTTATGTGTCAAAGGGTCAGAAGAATATCAACCAACCATGTGCGTTCCCAGAAGTCTTCCTCACTCTAGGAGCCCCTGGAGATAACCTTGTGATCCCTCTGAGCCCGGGACCTGGCAGGGCCCTGTCCTTCAACTTAAACCTTGTCCCAAAAGATGTCATGTCCAGGCACTGCTCTCCGAGCCATGCAAGTCCCAGAAAAGCCAACTCAAGGCCGTCATCTCCCACCCCACATGAACAGGGGAACATGACCAGCCCCATCAGTCAAGATGAAGACTGCTTCTCTCTGATTGAGAAGATTCATACAGCCCAGCTGCAGAAGGGTGTGGCTCAAGGCGGCCATGAATGGAAAGGGGATCCTGGAAAGGGGAGGGAAAAGGCAGTGCAAGGAAAGGGAAAGGGGGGTAGAAAGAAAGATAGGAAGGATGGTGGCAATAAACAATAGTCAGGTGCCACTTTGTACATTTTCTTTTGAGGAAAGCAACAGAGATGAATGTAAAGTGTCAGTAATTGGCTCGGAAAATAATTGATTGAACAATGTTTATAAAATTGTATCCGTAGTTTTCATTTTCCACACTAATTAGAAGCTCTCGCTGTAGTACAACTCAAGTTTATTGTTTTTATTTTCAGAACTGGGTCAGTTATTTGATAAGGCGTTTGATTTTCTTTTTTTCTTTTGCTGGTTAAATGTTACCTATGCATATACACATGGTCTATTTAGTTTCAAGCTTCGTGGTGTGGATAAGAAGCTTTGCTTTTTCAAATGTCAATGCAATGTATGCAGTTAAAGATAATGCTGTTTTATCTGCTTATCCAAAGAGAGAAATCGTAGGTAGGTTGAAATTAAACCCATTATTCTGCCAAACAATAAAAACAGAAATTAAACCTTGTTTACTCTTGATTAGTTGAATAATTCAGCCTAGAGCATACTTTTAACATTTTACAGAGATATTAGTTCACTACAATATCAGGCACTGTTTCCTGTAAATTATTTGTGTGTCTCAACTACACACGAAGACAAAGAGGTGTAACAAAGGGGTAAAAAGAAGACGGAACACTTGAGACATGTTTAACATTTATTGAAGATTTACAGAAGAAAATGATCAGGGGCTCATATTGTATGAACTCTGTTATTAAAATGCCTCAGCTCGGTCTTGTGTCTCATTCAGCAGAGTTACTTCCCTGAAAGTAAGAGAGAGAATTAGTTACTTGCGGCCAGTGTTTGTAGGACTGTATTAGCAATACAATAACATTCAGTATGTATTGATGGAAAAGGGCAAGCAATAAATATAAATATATATATATATATATGTATATGTATATATATATATATGTATATGTATATATATATATATGTATATGTATATATATGTATATGTATATGTATGTATATGTATATGTATATGTATATATATGTATATGTATATGTATATATATGTATATATATATATATATATATATGTGTGTGTGTGTGTGTGTGTATTTCACATTGGAATGTAAAATACTGGATATATAGAGGAAGAATATGCACATAGTTATAATATGATATAAAGAGAATGAAAAAGATACCTTTCCAGCATCACGGCTCTTGACTCTCAGCTTGTTGACCTGGGACTCAGCGATGTCAGCGCGCTCCTGAGCTTCCTCCAGCTCATGCTGGACCTTTCTCAGCCTGGACATGTGAGTGTTGGCCTGTTCCTCCTGTGAACGGTTTAAGAGTATTATTTAATTTAGTTGCTAATGGTGATAACATTCATTTCACTGCCCGATAAGGCAAATGAATATAGTTGACTCACAGCCTCCTCGGCTTGTCTCTTGTAAGCCTTGACTTTGAGCTGCAGCTTGTCCACCAGATGCTGAAGTCTGATCAAATTCTTCTTGTCCTCCTCAGTCTGTTCAGATACAGAATTGTCACTTATGGAGTGTTGAAGCAGAATCAAGTTTCTTTGGAAGAGGTATTTAGATGTTTACTTAAGTAAAAGTAGTAATAGTCTCAGTAATAGTCTCAGAATCTTACCTTGATGTACCACTTACAAAACGAGAGTCATTCCTCACAGTCTTGGCATTACCATGGGCCTCCAGCAGAGGGCTGGCTGCAATGAGTTGATCCTAAAGGGAGCTCAATAGAAAACTGTAGTTGTAAAAGCAAAACATCCAAAATAATTCCCTCTCACAAACAGTTTTGACAACTGATTTTACCTGCATTTTTGCCATCATTATAAAGTTTATAAAGTTTCAAGTTCAAGCATATGTACACATTTCAACACATTTTAACATTGTAACTTTGCCCAGTGAGAATGAACTGATGAACTTTTCAGCGATAGAAAAGATGTGGGTTGGAGCCTCGATCCTCTTCTTGCCTTTGTATGCTTCCACAACTACAGCATCATAGGAGTAGGTCTGCATTAGTAGAGGATGTAACATCTGCACATACAGATCTAAATGATCAATTTAATACTCATTCAAGCAAAGTAAAAACTTTAGTACCATGGTGGATGACGCTCTTCGGTTTGATCAGCTTTGGTGGGTTCCTGTGATGGATTCCTCTCGTCTTACAGTGATTGATAAATATGGAGTGAAAAGGTTTTGAGATTTTGAGAGACATTATAAAGTTCATCAGTAGCATCGCATAATAGTATGGTTCTATGTAGAGGGTCACCTACCTTTACTCCGTCTTTCTCAACTATGCCTTTGCCACCCAGTCTTTTGACAAGTTTGCCCTTGACATTCATTTCATCAGGATAAGTCACAAAGAAGGCAGATGGCAGATTCGGCATCAAATGGAGCAGTCTGGGCCTTGATCCTCTCCTCATGGTTTTCAGAGGTAAATAGCCGCAAGGCCATACTGCTCCATCTACTGTAACTATAAATATGAAAAATTCAAACATAAGTTATACATTATCCAGAGCCTGCAATTGACTCGTTTCTATTATTTTTGTTTTGAAGAATTTACCTTAACTGATCCAAACAGAAATTCACAGTTATCCTGTGTATGTCAAGATGCTACAACACAAGTTATAGGTAGACCAAGGTAAGTTTTGCATTACAACAATAAATTGAACATAAAAAAGACATAGTATGAAAACGGTCTAAGTTAAGCAAAGTAATTGTAAAGTGAAAAATTGAAGGAGCCTATTATTAATATTATTAGAGACAGTTTAGAACAGTTTGCTGCACCACCCGTCTTGGATGCCATTCAGTTGAAGCTGTTTTTTATACACTCAGCTTAAGTGTCCCACACAATTTGGTCAGGGAATGCTTGACCTTGGTGCTTAACAGTGATATGTTCACTACGTACTGTATAGATATTATAAAAATATAAATATCTTTTTAAGTTCTTTATAGTATTACAAAACAAATTCAGTAAAACCACATCAATTTAACTGAAAAGTCTTGTGATTTGTACCAAAATAGACATGGTACAGTGTCAAATTAATTGCATTTGTTAGTTTATTTTACATAATGACTACATTGTTGATGTATAGACCTCAACTCAACACAAAATTGGAAATTGATATAATTGTACTCCTCGTAAAAAAAGTACTGTCATTAAGAGATGACAATATTATGAGTTTGACATATTTTGGGACTTGATTGTGCTCATAAATGCTGAGTACACCACCAGTCATGTCCGAAGTATACCCAGTGGTAAATTGAAAAAGAGCACTCCATCGTTCGTGGATTATTTAATCGAATAAATAAACAGTTTACGATGGGCATATGTGTCCTATCCATTTTGATATCACAACCAGTGATGAGTTTTACATTTGGAGAAGCCTTGAAATGTCACTGGTGTAAAGTTACTGCACATACTAACCTCAGACATCTGAAATCAAATTCTGCCCATGGTCTCTCCATTAACGCTAGACAAGTGCTATGCAACTCCTGGGATTAGAAGGATTGCCAACTCAGATAATTTAACACCAGAACTATGGTCCTTATAAATAGCATAAATATGTTCCTGTGATGGGTGAAAAAGAAGCAGTTTTTGAGTGGAAGAGTTTATACTGACTGACTGATTTAATGAAGGGAAAGTCTGAGATCATCTCCAAGATTTACTTTCATTTCCAAGCTTTGAGCAGACGTGGCTCATTATTTGTCATCATACTAGAAGATCACAAGGTATGCATGGTCAAAAATAAATCCAGCTAAGGGAGGGAGCAGTGATCTGTATTTGGCATTAAGAGGAGGATATATTTATAGGACAGATTTAGTATGTTATGAACACCATATCAGATGTTTAAAAAGATTTATTTTCTTGAATAATCTATTTATTTCTCAAATATAATATTTATTTATTTAATTAGATCAAAAATTATTTTGATCGAATTAAATAAATTGTATGTAAGATCAGGGCAATATGTTAAGAATGGTAAGTTTTGTTGCCCTAGGATCGGGTAGAAGTGCCAGAAATGGGCTGAGCTGGCTCACAGAAAATGACTGACTTGCTCTACTTGTTTTTGTCCCCGGTATGTTACAGATAATGCAGTGCTATAGAGCTCTGCCAGGTGTGCAGCATCAAGCGTTGCTGTAGTTCAACCTGAAGTAGTAAAGATAATGAAGGTTCTGTCCTGTTCTGTGAGAACAGATGGAGTCTCCTTAAAGGACTCCAACAGCTTGCTCTCCTTTGTGGAGAAGCACACTGAGATTTTACCAATCCTTTCAAGTACACACAGTTTAAATGGTCGTATTACCCTAACCTGTCATCTATGTTGGCTGTAGGTTTGATCCAATTCCCCACTTTCTCTAAAATTGAACTTCATCCAGTTGCTACATGTGATACTAAGGAGGAGGACTATCTGTTAAATAAGCAATAAGTGAAATAGCAAAAACACAGAAAACCTTTTAAAACATGACAACTAAACCCATTTCATTCAGGTTTTTTTGTTTAACTTATGTTGACTTATTTTGAGTTGGCTTTTAGGACACATACAGATTATGCGATGACTTAAAGTGACCAGCACAAGTATTTCTTACTTCTTTAAAACTTCTTAGCTCCCGATACTGATTGCATGATGTCATTGCTTTTAAACATCTATGAATTAATATACAGTATGTTGTGCCATGTGTTATCTGAGTAAAAACGTGGTCATTACTTGGACCAATGAGTTATATATAGTTTATATGTTGTTCCTTTTACATTTAACCTTTTAGGATTCTGCTATGGAAAGAAATCCACTTTGGTGGTGTTGATTTCCTTTGCTGCATGTTTGCCCTATCACCGTATAATCCCTTTAGGAGTATGATGTGAAATCCTAGTACCCTTCGGTGAAAAAGCCTAAAGGGATAGCAGAGGGGCATCAAAGGCTTAAGACCTCATTCTGCTCCAAGATTCCAAGTCAAGCTTTAATTTCCTCCAGGAGACAGAGTGCAAAGACTTGCATGACTTGGCACCCTACATCTATTTATCGCCTGTGACATCCCAATTAAAGCATTGCATGGATGCAGGATAGGATACAGCCTTTTATGAGTCCTAAGCAGAATTTGATTCGCTCTGATCTCAGATAAAATAACCAGCACATTTTTCTTTCTCTTTTTTTGGTCTCTTTTAAGTTGGAAACACTGTGGTCTGGTTTTAGTAAATCTAGATTTTGGGGGTTAAGGAGGCAATAATAACACCATCCTACTCAAAATATGTGAATAATTTTTTATAATTAATATTATCCTTCCACCATATTGAAGATTTAAGGTTTCCCCTTCCCAAACACATGTATTTCCATTTTGTGCAGGTTTATACTTAACAACATGTCAGAAGGACGTATTGTACACCGAGTGTAAAGCGGTCGGGATTAGTCAGTACCTCCAATTCTGAAGTCATGCTTCACTGCTGGAAATCGGGGGATTGCGACCTCCAGGTTGGGAGTAAGTTACTGCCCCGGGCTAGGGAGTTTAAGTATCTTGCGGTCTCATTGACGAGTGAGGGGAAATAGATAATGGTAATGGTTTTACCGGACTGCTGCGGTGAAGAGGGAGCTGAGCTGAAAGGCAAAGCTCTTGATTTTCCATGTCTATCTACGTTCTTACCCTCACCTATGGTCATGAGCTTTGGAAAGTGACCCGAAATGAGCTTCTTTTGTTGGGGGTCTGGGCTCAGCCTTAGAAATGGGTATACCCAGAACACATTGGAAGGATTGTATATCTCGTCTGGCCTGGAGTTCCCCAGGAAGAGCTAGAAACCTTTGTTGGGGAGAGCGACGTCTGGAATACCCTGCTGAGCCTGATGAAGCTCTACCGTAAGTTCAGTCAGGAAGACTATACTCTTGTATGCCTAAGCCCGTAGTTTTGCTGCTGTCTCTTTTTAAATATGATTGTCTCTCTACCTTCAGTACGTTCATGCTGCTGTTACGCACCCCTCCACCTTCCTATCAACGCCCCGTCTTCGCAGACTTCATCAACTCATCATTCTATCAGCCTTATCAGCCATCTTCTATCTTGCTGCTGCTCAGGGCAGACGCCCCTCGATTACTTGTCAGGACTTTATCATCACATATCATCTGTATAATAATAAACTATCTTTTCTTTTATCCGACTTGTCTCTCCTGATTGAAATGCCCCTGCAACCCGGCCCGGATAAGTGGAAAGAAAATGGATGGATGGTATTGTTCTTACACACTCGTAGTGCTGCCGATACAATAAGATAATACAGCCATGGCTTATTGCTTGATAATAATTTAGTTGTGAGAAAGGAAATGACAGGATTCTGGATTGTGATGTCAATTATCATCTTTATTAATAAGTTAAAGATGCCCCAGCCACTGGCTCATATTTTATGAACGTTGTTGAAAGGCCTCAACTTGATGATGACGCTTACTGAGCAGAATCAGACTAAAGAAAAAGAGAGGAAAATCAATTAGCATAGTCATTCTCAGATGGAAATTCAAATATGTAATGATTGGGTACGATATAAGCTGTGATATTGATTTACACTGTCAATGGTGAAAGTGCACAGCATCAAATCATTTTACTGACTTCTTCTGTCAGTACAATTGATATTGTGATCATGCAAACAACCAAGATACCTTTCCAAATTCACGGCTCTTGGCTCTCAGCTTGTTGACCTGGGACTCAGCGATGTCAGCGCGCTCCTGAGCTTCCTCCATCTCATGCTGGACCTTTCTGTGCCTGGACATGTGAGTGTTGGCCTGCTCCTCCTGTGAAGGGATTGAAATTATATTGACATACTGTAGCTACAAGACAGTTAACACCTCTTAAGCTCCAGCCCTATTTGTAGGCCTCTGCTCAAAAACGGCATACCCACACTAAAGTGACCATAGTTCTGTAACTACAAGGTCTATTTTAATAATTTTTGTTGATATAATCAGATCACAACACTTGTGAGATTGTTCAGATGGGTAATATTGTGTATATGTTGCTGGTTAATATAGTAAATGAAGACGTTACACAGCTCAAATTGAAAATAATCAGGTTCGCCTGAAAAAAAAGCACTTTTATTGATATAATGTTGTTGAAATAATGCAGATATCTCCCTAAAAACTCTCCCAAATCATAGCACAACCGATCAGTAGTTGCTGAATAAAGGTTGGCTGGGATAAAGTGAAGAATAAGAGGCTTTAGTAGAGAGAGGTCAAGCTAGGTCATCATTTTCGAACCAGCTGTTGCAGCTCTTACATTGTACTTTTATATACTATATAACTATATATTTCACTTTTTTTATCACTCATATTATTCAATACATCCAAATACAGCTGTTAGGAATCATTTTGAGATTCCTAACATCATCAGAGCCTGTTTCTGGCTGTCATCTATAGGATTTTCTCAGTTCATGTGTGTGTATGGGGCTGTACCTCAGCCTATCATCGGTCGATTTCAGTCAATAAGCCCTCCTTCGACGTGTCAGAGTCTCAGGAAGGCGTGTGTCGAATTTGGTGTTGATTGACAGAAGTTTCAACCAATAAAGTTGCAAGATGTGCCGCGTCTCCCCGAGCGTAAATTTCCGCTCGCCGGAAGTCTGACCGCTCGCCCAAACTGGATTGACCGCTCTTATTCTGGAAACAGCTCGGAAGTAAACAGGATGCAGTTGGCAACAATGACTCCAGCTTTGAAACGGATAATCTGCGACGTTATTGTACTTATTTTTCATAAAACTTGGCCAAAATCCCACGATTTCTTTCGTCGAAGGGCAGTATGATGGTACATTTGACCACTCAGAGCTTCGTAGTGCTCCCACGGAGAGAAAAACCGAAATTATTTACGCGTTTGGCCTCGAGTGCTAATGCTATAAAATGCATTGCAACGCTTGGTAGCCGCTAGCATCAGGGTGCATATATTGATTTGCCCTACACATAACCGCGATTTCTGGCCAGGATTTCATGCTTTTATGCCACGTTTTCTAGATGCTTATATTAGTACTCTATAGTTGTGTTTGGAGTGTGTAAAAAGTGATTTATATGATAGTGTTGCCCATACGTTGCTGTTTAATCCGGAAAAAAACTGGACCAATCCACAATACTGGCGAACAACAAGGCTATTTTCCGAACAATATTTTCAGGGGTTCTGAGCCAGAGAGCCCCCAAATTTGGGGGCGTGGAGCTTAAGAGGAGTGATGTTATTATTATATCAACTGTAAATCATGTGTCACATGATCTATTTGACTCACAGCATCCTCAGCTTGTCTCTTGTAAGACTTGACTTTGAGCTGCAGCTTGTCCACCAGATCCTGAAGTCTGATCACATTCTTCTTGTCCTCCTCAGTCTGTACAGATAAATATTTTTTACCAACGGATTCAAACCATGATAATTACCAGTTAAATAATAATTTACCTGGTAGATCAGCTCCTTCACTCTCCTCTCGTATTTGCGAACACCTTTCACAGCTTCAGATCCACGTCTCTGCTCGCCTTCAACCTCAGTCTCCAGCTCACGCACCTGTAATGTGATGAGAAATAATTCATCAAACATATTAGTCCTGAAAAAGGTTGAATTCGTTCTACTCATTCCACGAACAATATACGTCCTAAACTTCATATATGATGAACATTTCAAGTATAAAATGCATACCCTGGACTCCAGTTTCTGGAGCTGCTTCTTGCCACCCTTCATGGCGAGGTTCTCAGCCTCATCCAGACGGTGCTGCAGGTCCTTGACTGTGATCTCCAGGTTCTTCTTCATCCTCTCCAAGTGAGAACTGGTGTCCTGCTCCTTCTTCAGCTCCTCTGCCATCATGGCAGCCTGAAATTATACAATGGTCTCTAATTCTTTCACAATCTATAATATATATTGTCAGTGCATGGAGGTAGAACAAAAACATAACATAGGTGAGCTAGAGATGTAAACTCACGTCAGTGATAGCCTTTTTGGCTTTCTCCTCAGCATTTCTTGCTTCCTGAACTGAATCCTCCACTTCACCCTGAACCTGGACAAGGTCAGTCTCCAGCTTCTTCTTGGTGTTCATAAGACTGGTGTTCTGAATGTTAAAAATAAGGAAGCCATGTTTAATATGATGTTTTGTTATTGTATTTTCAAAATACTAATTTCTTGTGAATTATTGAAAACAAACCTGAGAGTGAAGCAGTCCCACACGCTCACTAGCATCAATCAACTCCTGCTCAGCCACTTTGCGTCCTCTCTCTGTCTGCTCTAGAGCGGCTCTCAGCTCCTCAATCTCAGCCAGCATCAGGCCATTTCTGCGCTCCACCATGGTAAGCTGCTCCTTCATGTCTTCCTGTCCTCTGAGAGCATCATCAAGGTGCAGTTGGGCATCCTGAAAACATAAAAATGAAGAGTTCACCTTAACTTTATTTACTTTCAAACCATTATTATTTTCTTCATTCAGCAATCCAACCAAACCCACCTTGAGCTGTCCCTGGACATTCCTCAGTTGTTTCTGGGCCTCAGTCGCCTGCCTGTTGGCATGGCTCAGCTGAATCTCCATCTCATTCAGGTCTCCCTCCATCTTCTTCTTGATTCTCAGGGCATCGTTCCTGCTCCTGACCTCAGCATCGAGAGTGCTCTGCATGGAGTCAATCACCCTCTGGCTGTTCCTCTTGATCTGCTCCATCTCCTCATCCTTCTCTGCCAGCTTCCTGTCAACCTCACCTTTGATCTGGTTGAGCTCAAGTTGGACACGGAGAATCTTGGACTCCTCATGCTCCAGGGCACCCTTGGTGTAATTTCAACAGTTAACAAATCAGCATTCCAAAAGGTCACCCAGACTTGAAAATTACAAAATGATAAACTTTGTTTCTGTAGGAGCCAGCATATTGTTTTTAGTTTTGTATATGTGCCAAACCAAAGTAAACTTGAAGATCCAATGTCTTTTATCATTGTCAATATGCATGTTTGATTACCCACACTAAAAACAGTTGGATGGTTTTTGTGAGTCCCTGTCAACTTCTGATGTTGTTGTACCTCAGCTTCCTCCAGGGCTGTCTGAATTTCAGTCTTCTCAGTCTCCAGAGTCTTCTTTGCTTTTTCCAGCTCGTGGATAGTCTTTCCAGTCTCACCAAGCTGTTCAGTCAGGTCTGAGATCTCCTCTACAGGAAAGATAATACAAATTACAATTTTAGGAGCTGCTCTACAATCAGTAGTATTTTCCCTCAAGTATAACTGTTCACATACGTTGCAGGTTCTTGTTCTCTCTCTTCATGGTCTCCAAATGATCCAGAGCCTCCTCATAAGAGTTCTTCATCTTGAACAGTTCAGTGCTGAGAGAGCGAGCCTCTTTCAGGGATCCTTCCAGCTCTGCCTGGCTCTCCTCGTACTTCTGCTTCCATTCTGACAGGACCTAGAATTAAATACATGAGGAAACATTGTTGGTTTCATTTTAATAAATCTGGATTTGTTTTTTTACCTAACATTTACGTACCTTATCAAAGTTCCTCTGCTTCTTGTCAAGGTTGGCAGCCAGAGAATTAGCTCTCTCCACATCAATCATGAGGTCCTCCACCTCACCGTGCAGCCTCTGCTTGGTCTTCTCCAGAGAGGCACACTTGGAGTTCACAGCCTCAATGGATTCCTCAGCATCCTGAAGGCGCTGGGCAAGCTTTTTCCTGTAGTGAGCAAGGAAGGACACATCTTTGTTGAATACTGAAACATTACCTACACTACAATGTATTGCAATGTGTTTAATGTATGGAACAGTAGAAATTGTTTATTTACTTTGCATCCTCCAGCTCCTCAGTGCGCTGAATAGCATCAGTCTCATATTTGGCTCTCCACGTAGCCACCTCACTGTTGGCCTTGGACATTCCTCGCTGCAGCTCAGCCTTGGCCTCCTGCTCCTCCTCAAACTGCTCTCTGAGCAGATCACAGTCATGGCGGGCTGACTGAACAGCATGGGCCAGGGCGTTCTTGGCCTGTTTTACATGACAAGAGACCTTGTTTACTGACCTACATATATTATTGCAAATAGGAACTCTGGGTAGGGATACAGGTTTCTTGGTTACTTCCACAAGATGTTTGTTTTACTATTATTCTTAAGTTGCGGCGTATTTTGTAGAGAAAATGGGTATTATAATACCTTCACTTCCTCCTCAATGTGCCGCTTAAACTCCTCAATCTGCTGAGTGAAGGCCTGCTTGCCCCTGGTCAGCTGGGAAACCAGAGCTTCTTTCTCCTCAACTTGACGGGAATACTCACCTGAAGGGCAATGTATGAACTAGTTTTTGAAAATGGTTAACTCACCTAGCAAGTGCTTTTCATTACAGGTGTATAGGTGACTTACCATTCTCCGTCTGCAGTCTGGCCCTCTGTGTATTGATGTCATTCAGTTGGCGAACATTGTCATCATTTTTGGATTTGAGCTCACTCAGCTGGTCCTCAAGACTTCTGCACATTTTCTCCAAGTTGCCCTATCAATAATAAATGTGCTAAATTTGTATTCAAGCAACACAGACATTTGCTGCTTGTCAATAGATCATTTTTCTTTTTCATTTTTGACTTAGAAACAAACCCCACACCTTTGCTTTGGCAACAGACTCCATGTTGCTTGAGAGGTCATCAACCTCCATCTTGTACTCGCTCTTCTCCTTCTCCAGCTTCTGCTTGACACGCTGGAGGTTGTCGATCTGTTCTCCCAGCTCTGCAACACTGTCAGCCTGCTTCTTGCGGAGAGCTGCTGCGGTAGATTCATGCTGCAGGGTTGACTCTTCAAGATCCCGACGCATCTTCTGGAACTCAGCCTCGCGCTTCTTGTTCATCTCAATCTGAGCTGATGTTGCTCCACCAGCTTCCTCGAGCCGCTCGCTGATCTCCTCGAGCTCCCTGGAGAGGTCAGCCCTCTGCTTCTCTACTTTAGCCCGAGCCGACCTGTCAGCCTCAATCTCTTCCTCCAGCTCCTCAATACGAGCCTGGATTTGATGATAGTAATATCAATGCAACTTATTAACCTTAACATGTTTGTTTTGATTCACTGAGTGTACTATTCATGTCAAATACATTACCTGGAGTTCCTTGATCTTCTTATGAAGCTGAGCACCAAGAGTCTGTTCATCCTCAATCTTGCTGAGGAGCTGGCTGGTCTCAAAGTCCTTCCTGGAAGAGGAGACCAAAAATATTTCTTTGTTATAGTTTTCCTGTTGTTTGAGAGTAATGTGTGGTATGCTAATACGAGGATTAATAAACTTACAAACAAACAAAAACTTACTTTTTGATTTTCTCGTCAGATTGCAGCTTCTCATTCTCCAGATCCATTATGGATTCCTGGGCCAGTTTCAGATCTCCCTCAAGCTTCCTCTTGGCTCTCTCAAGGTCCATGCGAAGCTTCTTCTCTTGCTCCAGTGATCCCTCAAGCTTTTGAAATAAAATGTTTTGTGTTTGTACAATGGAACATCAATGCTAAAACCCAAACTGTTTCTAGTTTCATAACTTTGAAAGCAATGTTTCCTCACATCGTCCACTTGCTGTTCCAGCTTTGTCTTGGCCTTGGTCAGAGTGTTGACTTTGTCTTCCTCTGCCTGGAGATCATCAAGTAATTGCTGGTGAGCCTCTTGGAGGGCTTTCTTCTCCTTCGTTAACTTGGCAATGGTCTCATCTTGAGATGCCAACTCCTCCGTCAGGTTTTTCACCTTAAAAAAGGAATGAAGGATACGCTTTAGTATAACTTAACATCTATGCATATGTGATTCTGTAGAAATATTTTATCAGTTTGTATCAGTGTATATTTCAAGTTATGTGAACCTTGTTTTCTGTGGCATGTTTCTCCTTCTCCACTTTAGCCAAGGTGAGCTCCAAGTCATCAATGTCTTTCTTCAGCTCAGAGCATTCATCCTCCAGCTTCCTCTTCTTGGCAGTCAGCTCAGCATTCATTTCCTCTTCATCCTCCAGTCTCTCAGCTGCCTCTTTGGCTTTGGCCTCGAGCTGGATTTTGCTCTTAATGAGCTGCTCACACCTTTCCTCAGCATCAGAGAGAGTATCACTTTCCTATATTTTGAATATGCATGTGGTAACACATTAGATTATCCATGAAAATACGAGTTTATTATTTACTTTTTGTTTAATGTGTAATACCAATTATATATAGATTGACTATTCAGAAAGGCTAGATATTTGGTAAAGCAGGTACATAATGCAAACCCTGCATTTTGTCTGCAAGTATCTCCTGAGATCTAATTGATGAATTCAGTCCAAATGACTTCACTTACCGAAGCCATTTGCAATTGCAGGTCATTATTTTCCTGCAGCAGAGAAACCATCTTCTCCTCCAGTTCCTTCTTCTTGGCCAGTGCAGTAGCCAGGTCTGATTTCATCTTATCATAGTTCTCCTTCATCTGTTGCAGCTCCTTCTCAGTTTCAGCACTCTTCAGAAGAGGTTTGATCTTGAAGTAGAGTTTCAGCCATGGCCAGTTCTTCACATTCATGAATGAACGGACATTGTACTGGATGGAATAGATTGCCTCTCTAAAAACAAAATATATATATATATATATATATTAACAGAACTTTTATTGTAATATGATTATGTAGAAATATCAATATGATATCACTTAGTATAGTGCATGCATGATAATTGTACCTCCTCTCCGTCATCTTAACAAACTCCTTTCTCATAACATATCCTCTGCAGAGAGCCTGAGTCATGGTCACCAGCAGAGCCAGTTTGTCATCTCTCATCTCCTCCAGGGTACCCAGCAGACCAGCTTTGAAGAACACCTATGTTGTCAAGTGAAGGAAATTAGTCAGAACAGGACAACTGCATTAGTGAAAGTCTGTTAACATTGTCCAAAAGAATGTACCTTTGTGTGCCCAAACTTGTACTGAGTGTGGTCCACATCAATGGAGCCCAGCAGCTTCTCTGAAGCTTTTTTGTTGTCAATGAACTGTCCGTCTGGGATGACACCAGCATTCAATACTTTGTATCTGCAAGGAAAATATGCTGTGACTTTGATGTATTTCAACTCTTGGGCAGGCATAACATCAATTAAATTTGTCGTGCATAAACTGAAAATGATTGTCACCTCTGCTTAAAGTCTCCATAGAGGACTCTGCTGGGGAAGCCCTTTCTGCAGATTCTGATGCCTTCCAGCACACCATTACACCTCAGCTGGTGGATGACCAAGTGGTTCTCCATAAGACCTGGTAATTGCAAACACATATTGGGTAGAATTTCTCTTTTTTTATACTATGTTTCACAAAGTGCAGAAAGGAGGATTATGAATGTCTTACCTTGGGTCTTTGATTCATTAGGAATCAAGCAACGGACAAAATGAGGGTGGGTGCTCCTCAAGTTGGTCATCAGCTTGCCCAAGTTCTCCTGTGGAGCGTCATAACAAGATAATATGTCAACATTATTTGAGGTTTTTCATTGTTATCCAAAGATACTGTATGAAACAATACATACTCTGAAAAGGGCAGACACAGTCTGGAAGGAACCTCCCTTCTTCTTTCCAGCCTTCTTGCCAGCAGCAGCATCTGTTTTGCAAAATAATTGAATTTCATTAATGGGACTGAATAAATAACGTGTTATCAGTGTTTAAGCATTCTTTTTCATGAAAAATGGATTTTGTAGTTCAGAAATGGTCCGGAAGGAACCATCCTTTTGTTTTTACGCCCACCAGATGGTTGTTCCAGAGAAGTTGCAACAATGCCACTGAATCATTGCCTTTGTTTCTGCTCAGGTTTTATATCCTTATTAACATAAATGTATTAATTACCAGTTTGTATAGCGTCTTACCTTCAGCTCCATGGGTTACATACAGTAACGATAGCAGTTTGTTTGCAGATTTCTGGTAGAGCTGAATAACTGAGTCATTCAGGGGGTCCTTGTTCTTGTCCAGCCAGCCATTGATATTGTAGTCCACTGTACCAGCATAGTGAACCAGAGCGAAGTGAGATTCGGCCTTGCCCTTTCCAGGCTTTGGCTTCTCAAAGGCCTTGGTCTTGCCAAGATGCTGATCATGCAGCTTGTTCTTGAACGTTGTGTCAGAGGCCTTGGGGAACATGCACTCCTCTTCAAGGATGGAGAAGATGCCCATTGGCTGAAGAGATATTTTGTCATATAAGAATCAATAATTTAGCATCCACTCCAAAAAACAGGAATTCAGTTCTACCTGACAGATTTGTCTTACCTTCTCGATAAGCTCAATGCAGGCAGCCAAGTCCATACCGAAGTCAATGAACTCCCATTCAATGCCTTCTTTCTTGTACTCCTCTTGCTCCAGGACAAACATGTGGTGGTTGAAGAACTGTTGCAGTTTCTCATTGGTGAAGTTGATGCAGAGTTGCTCCAAGCTGTTGAACTACAGTAAACAGGTAGATAGTCAGTTAAATTGGCATGCAGTGTTCATAGTGTATATCATCTCTACTTGTATGTTTTTGTAACTTACATCAAAGATCTCAAATCCAGCGATATCCAACACTCCAATGTAGAACTGTCTGGCCTGCTTTGTGTCCAGCATCTCATTGATACGGATGACCATCCACAAGAACATTTTCTCATAGATGGACTTGCACAAAGCACTGACAGCATTGTTGACCTAGAAGTAAGGATTTTAGTGTGGTAATTTATTAGACAAATATTTTCATATCAAAATGCAAACATTCCCCTATTTTTTCCAAACCTCATCTTCTTTTTATTACCTGTGGCACGGTCTGACCTTTGGTCACCATCTCGTTTCCGACCTTGACTCTTGGGTAGCACAGAGCTTTCAGCATGTCGGCTGAGTTCAGGCCCAGGAGGTAGGCGATTTTATCAGCCACTGGTGGAGGGAAAAGCAAGGAGCACTGAATACATATTCACTGGTACGGTATTTTACAAACCAGAAAACTTGCATGATGAGAATAGTATTCTTTTTTTAAACAATTACCCTCATTGCCATCGGGTTCAGCCTGCTCCTCACGCTGCTTCTGCTTGAATTTCATGTTGCCATGATGCATCGCAGCTCCAGTCAGCTTGTAGATGCCCAATTTCTCCTCAGCAGTGAAGCCCAAGATGTCAATTGCCGTCTGAAATGTAAATTAACCAAAGTTATTGGTATGGGAAACCTTTTCCCCAATAAACTATCTATTTGACTAATTGTTATCTTACATCTGTTGCAACAAACTCCTCCACATCATCGATGCTTTTGACAGTGATTTCACCCTGACTGACCATGTGGTAGTCATAGGGGTTGGTGGTGATCAGGAGAGCCTCTGGAGGAGAACAACAGAAATACATAGTATTGTTTAGAGTTTTTTCTGGCATTGTTTACATTTCTATCTCAAATTTGAGTTGTAACATACCCAGGAGCTCAGGCTTGTGGCCAGTCATCAGCTGATAGAAGATATGGTAGCTCCTCTCAGCAGACAACTGGAAGGTGACACGAGATTTCTCCAGCAGATCTAAGATTAACAAATCAAAGTCAAATTACAGTTTGTTGAATTTAAATCATACTATTATTATTGATAATATATAAAAAAGGAAATATTTGACATATATAAATGTATGCACAACCTCACCAAGAGGCATCATATCTTTGTACAATATTGCCAAAAGCATAGAACAAAATAAAGCCCAAGATTTTAGAACTCAATGTTTCCAATGGAGATATAGAGATAATTGAGTTAAGGCTTGTAGCTAAAACTATTCCACATAACTGCTGCTGAATATATTACATATTGCATATATTATCATACAGTGACAACAAATGTTTTTAAGCTATTTGCAATACTACCACCATATCAAGTGCAAATTCAAACTGCAAAATATAGAAAATGACTTACATGTTTCAATATCAGCTGAGGCCAGTTTGCCAGTGGTTCCAAAGTGAATTCGGATGAATTTACCCTAAGCACATCAGATTAAAGTTAGCAGGATTTTTGACATGCAGCTCAAAAGGTTTATGTGTATGTTATGCCCTTTTAACACTTACAAAACGAGAGGAGTTGTCATTCCTCACAGTCTTGGCATTGCCATAGGCCTCTAGTAGAGGGTTGGCTGCAATGATTTGATCTTCCAGTGAACCCTACATAGAGACATTATGAGGCTAAATTATTCAACAACAATCAACTGCGGCAAAGATTTTTAGCGTACAACAAATTTTACCTTGATTTTGCTAGTTTCTGCTTTCTTTCCTCCAGACACTGCAATTGTTGCAAAGTACTGGATGACACGCTTGGTGTTGACAGTCTTTCCTGCACCAGATTCTCCACTGGGGGAAAGAAGAGGGGAGGGAGAAAACTTGAGTCATATCAATGTCCTATAATATCTTATATAGATACATAAAACATACTATTATATGATATTATACATGTTATATATACATATATATTATTCTGTTATGTATTCACTCACGTGATAAGGATAGACTGGTTTTCACGATCTGAAATAAACAAACAAATACTTTAAGATCTCATAAAATACCATATATTGTCGAAATACAGTCACATTTGAGGTCATAACTGCTGCGTCTTGTTTAGTGTGTCACATAAAGACAAATTCATCTGTCGTCTTCTCAAAATACGATCTCTTACCAGTGAGCATGGCCTGGTAGGCATTATCAGAGATGGAGAAGATGTGGGGTGGAGCCTCGACTCTCTTCTTGCCTCTGTATGCATTGACAACCTGAGAATCGTACACTGGAAGCCACTTGTAGGGGTTCACGACGACGCAGAAGAGGCCAGAGTAGGTCTGGAAATGGAAGAAAGTTCCCTTTTGACTTCATTGCTTCTACATCTGACATACTGTATACATAAATTCAATCTGAATTTCATTTAGAGCAGTGGCTGTAGAGAAAAGAAAAGTTTTGTTTTTTTCTTTATGTTAATGCAGATCTAAACACTCACATAGATCATATATGATGCAAAACGCTCTTTGAGGTTATACAGCACAGCTGGCTCATTGAGGTGGGTCATCATGGCCATGTCCTCAATTTTATCATACTTGGGAGGATTCATTGCATGGATGTCATCTTCTTTTACAGTGAGAACCTAAAAAGAAAATGCAGTAAAAAAGTAAATTGGGATGGATGTCATCCTATTTCATTGTTAACAATAAATTTAAATAAAGCATGTATTCACCTACCTTTAATTTAAATAATATTAGTCAAGTCGCATAGTCTCATATAATAGTTAAATAAAATGTATCTCATTCTCTCTTGCTAAGAAAGTCTCCAAAGTAAAATAGTAATAACTTAACGATTTAGAGAACTGTCATCAGTTGGTTTGGGGTCATTTGAGTTTCATGCATGATTACACTTACCTTTGATGGCTTTCCTTCATATAAGATTGTCTCAACTGTGGCTTTGCCACCCTCTTTCTTCACGAGTTTACCCCTTAGGTACATTTCAATTGGATCGACCACAAAGAAGGCTGTCTTGGCATCAAATGGAGAGTTTTGAGCCTCAATCCTCTCCCTCTCGGGCTTGCGGAGGTATATGGACGCAGGCCCATACTGCGCCATCTCTGCGTCTGTACTCATGGTTGCACTTTATTTGGGACTGAAAAGATAAGAAAGAATTTGGATTACTTCGAATAATTTCATTGTGATAGTATTTGGTGGTATTATATGGTAGTATTTGTATCTGACTGTTATGGAGGTTGTATTATTGTTGATGTCTTACCTCAGTTTATCCCAAATGAGTGCCACAGCTTGTTGCCTTAGAATGCTGTTAAAGAAAGATTGAGTTGATCATTGAAGAGGTAAAACAATTTTAATATTTTCCGCTGTCTAAAGCAGCAGTAAACAGCAGTCACACTACATGAATTTTATGTTATAACCTGCGTGGCTCCATAAGCTTTTGTTACTGCAGTGTAGCTGTCATTTGTGTTTTGTTTCATTTTAAGAGTTTTATTTAATTTCCTTTTTTTCTCATTCTTTTTGGTCTATCTTGATTGATTTTATTCTGCTTTTTATTGCTTCTTGTTCTCACTTGAATACATTTCTTTGCCTATAACACACTTTGAATTGCCTCTGTGTTTCAATTATGCTATATGAATACATCTGCTTTGCCTTTACAATTACAGTACAGTACAGTTATATAAGCTCCTACACAACTGTGTTTCATAGTCTCTCCAGTGATCCAAAGCTATTTGGATCATTCAAATAATATCAAATAACAGACTTTTCTAAATTCACTATTATTAGTTGCAAAAGATATTTAGCAGCTTGCTTTACAAAAGAAAGTAACATATTTGCTTATTTATATCCCTTCAAGACTATTTGACATGAAAAAACATGCTGACAAAGAGTGACATTACATTAATGCAATTTTGATTGTAAGCAAATTAGATGAGCATAACCACACACAAAGCACTAACCTGTGATGCCTGTCAGTTCTCAAAGGAGTCTGAAGCTGCTGCTGCTTTTATAGAGGCTGGAACCGCCCAGTCAGCAGCCGTCCCTCTCTCGATTTGGTCAAGCATCCCTCTCATCTGAAACCTATCTTAGTAAACCTTTTGCTTGTTCAACATTGCTCAACTGTCAAAAAATAAATAAAACAAGAAAAAATTAATGATAAATAAATCCAGCAAGATGGGATCGAAACTCACACTCTGTGTGTTGTACAATTATTTACAAAACATAGCTAATTCGACAAATACATATTCATCTATTTAGTAAATATGTTGACTTTCGTTATTTGAACCTATGAACTCTTTGCCCTTAGTGAGATGAACTAAAATGTCATTGGTGTTTAGTGTCGGAGCTTGTCCACATTTAAAATCTTTGAAATGCAATAAAATTGAATATCATTGGCAAGTATTACAAATATAAGTATAATAAAACTTAGTATTGTAGCTTACAGTCCCTCACACACCATATATACATTTTGAAGAGTATGACATGTTCATAATGTCATGCACATGTTTTAAAGAGAGCCTGAACCAAAGTCCAAAGTATGTCCAAAAATAGATGCTGTGCAACATGTTTATGTTTCTGTTATTTGTTTCAACAAATAATTTAGTCAAATAATTAAGTAACAAATGATTTAGATTCCAACTTAGCCTACTTGAGAAGGATTTCATAATTGTATAATAGAGCTTGTCTCTACTTGCCCTCGCAATTAAACATGACCATAGCCAGACATGCAACTTAATTTTGGAGAAGCACCCAAGGGGTGCTGGTATATAGTTGCAGGTCATGTTGCACAGATCATGTTGCTCTGGTAAACTCGAATGTAAGGCCCATTCCATAAAGTTCAAGTGGTATTACACTTTGCCTTAATAGGAATACAAAAGTGTTTGCCAACAAGGCTGAGATAAGACCTATAATAAGTTCCACTCAGATGTCAAAGTTCTTTATCCTTGTGCTACATTTGATAGGATGTTGTTGCTGTTAAGGAAACACAATATCCTTCAAAAATGATGTCACTGTGGTTTTGAGAGAACAAATTATACACTGATAGTTTTATTTTTAAAAAGTAAAAAAGGTTTACCTTATAACTTTAAAAGTAACTTTATGGCATTCTTCACTTCTGGTAACTCGCTATGATATTTCATTTACATCACAATTTGCATATGTTGTATATGTTGTCATTTGAGCCACACTAACTTTCTTAGGGTAACTTTTACACTGGACTAAACTGTCTCATTAAGACTGGGTCTGTTCTGGCCTCAGGTTATCACAACAGTCACTCCAGTATCAGTCATGCTATATGATATACACTACCTAATTATTATGACATTTACCAAAATCAAAATCAAAATATACATAAATGAATGTGCAGTAGTGTGCACTACATCTAAATACATCTCTGATCTGCTGCTACCTTATGAACCATCCCGACCCCGCAGGTCATCTGGGACTGGTCTGCTTCCTGTTCCCAGAGTCAGAACTAAACATGGAGAAGCAGCGTCCCAGAAAGCTGCAGGTCTGCTGAGACCCTCAGCTCCTTTAAATCAAGATTGAAGACTTTTCTGTTTGCTGCTGCCTTTACTTGAACCAGATTCAAGGATATTAATCAATTTCTGCGTTTTACTACTGTATTTTATTTCTTACACTGCTTTCTATTGTTTTAATGACTGTATTTAATGTTTCAATGAATGTTCTTGATTGTTTTTAAATCTCCTTTACTTTTGCCTTGTGTTTTGATGCTTTTAATGGCTTTATGTGAAGCACTTTGAATTACCTTGTTGTTGAAATGTGCTATACAAATAAACTTGCCTTGCCTTGCCTACTGTATTTCAGATTGTAACATGATGTCAGCAGTATGCTCAGCCAACTGGTTAATTTTGCCAGTGGTAAGGTGACACAATATGATTTATAATACAGACTTTGTAATAAGCAGATCAAGCACAGATACAACATTTGCTACAAGATCCATATTTTTGCGCACAAAATAATGACCCCTGACGTTGCTGTGACGTAACGTGACGAAGCCGGAAGTATCCCACCTCCACCCGACACGCTTTGAGTTGTCTGCAACCGAAGTGTTAGCTACAGTTAGCATTACTCTTTTTTTTAAATCTCGAACGGCTATTCTCCCCTGGAAGAAAATGCCTTCACTAAACGGAAAACCCGATGTTATATTCGTAAGTTACACCACTGCATATTATTATCTAATGGCGTTTATTGACAGGGAGTGTTAGCTAGTTAGCTAACATTAGCTAACTTTTACTAAAGCGCTAACGTTAGCATAGCTGTGTGTTTGTGTGTAACAAGTTAGCTTGCTATGGCTCGTAAGCTGTGAATCGTAGAGATTTTGTTGTCAGGCATTCTTGGCTCCTAACTAGTGGTTATGATAGTTATCGCAGATTTATTTATGTTTTACTTACGATCTATAAACGGATGTATTGTCAACGTTATAGTAACGTCGCACTAATGCTAGCTTTAGCAAAACGAAACTCTCTCGAAGTTATTCATGTTGTAGTTGTTATGTTACTCGACGTGTTATGTGCTTTGTGGCTCTGATAGGAGGACGATGATCTGCCATACGAAGAGGAGATCATCAGGAACCCATACTCGGTCAAGTGCTGGATACGTTACATCGAATTCAAACAGAATGGAGCCAAATCCACCCTCAACATGATCTACGAGCGCGCTCTGAGAGAGCTGCCCGGCAGGTAGTTAACGTGACAGGGGACCGTTATACACAAAGCAACAACATTGTACTGTAAAAGCAGTTTGCTGCGATTACCTGCAAATCCAAATTATTGCAATCACATTAGAACATGCATGCATGAATGAACATGCCTTGTTTTTTTATTTAGGTGATGAGTGGCCTGATGGCTATACCAGGTTTTAAATTGTGCACAACTACTATTTGCTTATGGTCTAACCTTTTTCTTAAATTTTTTTTTCCATTTTACAGCTACAAGCTGTGGTACAATTATCTGCGAGAGAGACGGAAACAAATCAAAGGGAAATGTGTCACTGAGCCAGGATATGAAGAGATCAATAATTGCCATGAAAGAGCATTGGTGTTCATGCATAAGGTAATACTGAACCACTTGACAGTACAAAATAACATTCCGTTGTGGTCAGTTGTGCTTGAAACTTAACACCTGTCTTTCCTTAAACTAGATGCCCAGACTGTGGCTTGATTACTGCCAGTTCCTTGTATCTCAATGCAAGATCACAAGAAGCCGGCAAACATTCGACCGGGCACTCAGAGCTCTTCCTGTTACTCAGCACCCACGTATCTGGCCTCTGTATCTCCGCTTTGCCCGTAACCTTCCTCTGCCCGAGACAGCAATCCGAGTGTACCGCAGGTACCTTAAGGTGAGAGCACGGTACCAAAGCTAGTTCTATAAAACAGCTGTTATTTAGGAGGAACACTAATAGTTGTATTTGTGTGCTGGATTTGCTGATTTTGTCTTGAGAAGGTTTTACCAACTATCCAAAAAGCTTTAACAGCATACTGTATAAAGCTCAAATGTTGATGAAGAAGCAAAACACATTTAGAAGAATGATAATGTCCTTCACATGTGCTGTCTGCTATTTGTACCATGCAGCTTTCTCCAGAAAATGCAGAGGAGTACATAGACTACTTACGGTCTGTTGGCCGCTTGGATGAAGCAGCTGTGCGACTAGCAGCTGTTGTCAATGACGAAAGCTTTGTGTCCAAAGAGGGCAAATCTAACTATCAAGTAAGATTTTAATATCATGTGCACTTCCAAATTTGCCTGTTTTTTCTTAAGCTGACGAGCAAAATTGATCTTGTTTCTACGTGTATTTTGTCGGACAGCTGTGGCATGAGCTGTGCGACCTGATCTCCCAGAACCCCGATAAAGTGACGTCACTCAATGTAGGGGCCATCATCCGAGGAGGCCTCACTCGCTTCACAGACCAACTTGGAAAACTCTGGTGCTCTTTAGCCGACTATTACATTAGGAGTGGTCACTTTGAGAAGGTGTGTATTGTCCAAATAGCTTCAATTTATACATATCATACAGCACTTCATCATATTGAAATATATTTAAACAAAATACGAGATACCGCTGCTTAATATTAAGCTAGTTGACTGACTGTCTATGATGATTTATGTGTCTTTACTTCTCTCAGGCCCGTGATGTGTATGAGGAGGCCATCCTTACAGTGGTAACAGTACGGGATTTCACACAAGTGTTTGACAGCTATGCCCAGTTTGAGGAGAGCATGATCGCAGCAAAGATGGAGACCACAGCTGAGATGGGGAAGGATGAAGATGGTGTGTGTGTGGATTCATTAATATTGCCAAAGTTCCTTGCTTTCACTTCTCTTGTCATGCATGCCTTACTCTCTGTCCCTCTCCTCCCAGAGGACATAGACATGGAGCTCAGACTGGCCCGCTTCGAGCAGCTGATAGCCCGGCGGCCCCTCCTATTGAACAGTGTTCTACTGCGGCAGAACCCTCATAATGTTCATGAGTGGCACAAGCGGGTCAAATTGTATGACGGCAATCCACGGCAGGTAAGTTGTCATACTGGTACAACATTTAACAAACGCTACACAGGTAGAACTGCATTTATGTTGTACTAGACTAATATATCCGCGCTCGCTATATCTTCTGCAGATTATCAACACATACACTGAGGCGGTGCAGACTATAGATCCGATGAAGGCCACGGGGAAGCCTCACTCGCTCTGGGTTTCCTTCGCTAAATTCTACGAGGAAAACGAGCAGCTGGATGATGTAAGTCATTGAGGGCTTTCCACGGGCATTATGGAAACCCTCCACAGTTCTGAGATTCCTTTTTTTTTTTTGTCTTTTTCATTCCTGATATTTCTTAACGTTTACTGACTGTCACTCAGGCCAGGACCATTTTTGAGAAGGCTACCAAGGTGAACTACAAGCAGGTGGATGACCTTGCTGCAGTGTGGTGTGAATATGGAGAGATGGAGCTTCGCCATGAGAATTATGAACAGGCGCTGCGCATACTGAGGGTGAGGCACTTGCATCTCGTCTGCGGTCATTATTACGGGTGCCATCAGTCAAATAGTAGCACTATTTCCACTAGGTGTTTGGTGACATCTAGTGGCAGGACTGAGAAACTACAACAACATTGCATATTTTTACTTCCTGAAAGCATATTCTCTGTCGAGGTTTATCTCGTGATTTTCAAACTTAACACCTGGTAACAGATGCAGCAGTCGATAGATTTGACCTGAGGCTGCCTATCATAATGGTGTTTAGTGTAGTGTTCGTCTTTAAACTTGAACCACAGCTTGACTTGTGACGAACAAAATCATTACATACTGTTGGTTGCTTTCTCTGAAGCTCTCTCAACCTTTCAGAGGATGCAGAGATGGTCACTTGTTTGAGGGAAACAAAACCAAATGCATCCTAGATAACTGGTTTAGGGCTCTAGGCGGTTAGCGTATTCATAACGGAAGAGATTTGGGGCAAAAGGTGACGAGCTTTGATTTGAGTCCCTGCCAATGAATTATGGCAATTCTGAGCACGGACTGGAATATTACTGATTGCACATTTTTAAATAAATGAGACCACTTGTGTATTTGTGTATACATGTTTTGTGGATATAGAGGTAAGACGTATGTTGTTCTTTCAATTATTTGAATTTAGAAAGCGACAGCAATCCCATCCAAGAAGGCGGAGTACTTTGATGTATCTGAGCCGGTCCAAAACCGAGTTTACAAGTCTTTGAAGGTCTGGTCCATGCTGGCGGACCTGGAGGAGAGTCTCGGCACTTTCCAGGTAAGCTCACTGTTTACATATAAGCCAATACAGAAGGTAACATGACAGGTGAACTCTAAGATACTAAGTATTGGGTTAGAATTCTGATCCCCTGTGTCTTTGAAATCATTCATCTCTGTGAGTGGTATATGTTGATTTCTTCCTCCATTTTTCTTCTCAGTCTACCAAAGCAGTTTACGATCGCATCATTGACCTCCGCATCGCCACGCCACAGATCATCATCAATTATGCCATGTTCCTTGAAGAGCACAACTACTTTGAGGAAAGCTTCAAAGTAATAACATGCCACTAATTAAATAATGTCAAAATGTATTCTAGCCTTGATCACCGTACCACCCCTTTGAATAATTTTTCAATGTGTTTGTTGATACCTCTTTAGGCATACGAGCGCGGTATTGCTCTCTTCAGGTGGCCAAATGTTTATGACATCTGGAACACTTACCTCACCAAGTTCATTGATCGTTATGGGGGCAAGAAGCTGGAGAGAGCTAGAGATTTATTTGAACAAGCCCTGGACGGCTGCCCTGCCAAGTTTGCCAAGAGTAAGTACCTTTGTCAAAACGTTTTGACGTGTATACAGCATAGTCTTCATTGTGTCTATTTTTTTTTCTTTATAAAATGTATTAATGCTGAATGTACCACTGTGTTGCTTTCCAGCCATTTACCTGTTGTATGCCAAATTGGAGGAGGGCTATGGATTGGCACGACACGCCATGGCTGTCTATGAAAGAGCAACGCAGGCAGTAGACTCTGTTGAGAGACATCACATGTTCAATATCTACATCAAGAGAGCAGCTGAAATTTACGGAGTCACGTATACCAGAGCCATTTACCAGAAAGCTATCGAGGTACATGTGAAGAGCATTGACGCGTATGACAACATGTGGTATTGGAAGGTTTATTTTTCTGTTGAAATAAAAGAACCGTGTGTAGCATTTTGGAGAATATTGGCAGAAATTGAATTTAATATTGATATTAATGACAAATCTTACACAATAGACCTTTTAATTTGATATTTTTAAATACCGTATTTTCCGCACTATAAGGCGCACTGGATTATAAGGCGCACCTTCAATGAATGGCCTATTTTAGAACTGTTTTTATATATAGGGCACACCGGATTATAAGGCGCATAGAATAGAAGCTACTACTGTTCAACAACCCACTGTTCGAGTTTGTCCTCTAACTGTGGCCATCTCGCTTTGTTCCCTCGGAAACTCTTTTTAGTCTTCTTTACTTGGCACAGGTCATCTTCTTGCTTCCTCCACTTCCGTACCATTGATTCATTAATGTTGAATTCTCTCGCTGCTGCTCTATTCCCATGTTCGGCTGCATAGCTGACAGCCTTGAGTTTGAACTCAGCGTCGTAAGCGTGTCTCTTGAAAGGTGCCATTTTGGGGTCTTTATACACACAAGTGGTGTTGGACTAGGAGTAAGCACAGTACCGGTGTTTACCGCTATTACTTCGGCGACACCCCTGACTACGGTAGCCGTAATGCTGCAAGCGGTGCGGCTCTGTAGTTTACCAGTCGTACTGAAACATTTTGACAGAGCGCCGTGTACAACCAGTATAGATCAACAAATTAACCAATTGATCCATATATAAGGCGCTCCGGATTACAAGGCGCACTGTCGTTTTTTGAGAAAATTAAAGGCTTTTAAGTGCGCCTTATAGTGCGGAAAATACGGTACTTTCAAGTTATTATCTATGCAAATCCTTCTACTATTTGTGACTCATCAAAATAACAACATTTGCTGTTTTATTCATTATTGAAATAACAAAAAATCTGAATTATACCTTTTTGTTTTTATCCAGGTGCTTCCTGATGAGCATGCAAGGGACATGTGTCAGCGATTTGCTGACATGGAGAGTAAACTTGGTGAGATCGATCGGGCCAGAGCGATCTACTCCTACTGCTCGCAGATTTGCGACCCACGGGTGAGATAAACCACCTCCTGCCGTTACCCGTTTCTGAATGAAGTGACACATTTCCATCAGTGATGTGCCCATCGTAATTCCTCTTGATATATTCATGAACTTGGGTCTTTCAGGTGACTGCAAATTTCTGGCAGGCCTGGAAGGAATTTGAGATCCGCCACGGAAATGAGGACACGATCAGAGAAATGCTGAGGATCAAACGTAGTGTCCAAGCCACATACAACACCCAGGTCAACTTCATGTCCTCTCAGATGATGAAGGCAATAACGAGCTCCACGGGCACCGGTGAGAGAGCTTGCACTAACTTGTTAGCCGTGAGCTGAATAGGCAGTACGGAACTTTGGGAGGGGATGTTTCATAATATTCATATGGTAGCCACGCGTGCTATTTTTCCAAAATCCTGAGGTTACCCCTAAGAATAGCACACGGATGAATGTACTCCTGCTAATGTTTCTGTTTGTCCAACCTTTTGTTTTGTATCCAGTGTCAGACCTTGCTCCGGGCCAAATGGGAATTGATGACATGAAGATGCTGGAGCAGAAAGCACAGCTGCTTGCTGCAGAGGCCGAGCAGGACAAACCCAAACCCAAAGAGAAGATTCTCTTTGTCAGGTCGGTCTTTTTGTTTTCTCTGGTGAAAGGTTATGCCTTTTTTATAAAATTGGACAACACGCTCCAACCTAAATGGAGACGCATGAATCTTATCCTCTTCATGTGCCTTTGCAGGAGCGACACCTCTCGCAGCGAGTTGGCTGAGCTTGCCAAACGAGCCAATCCTGATGAGATTGACATTGACGATGATGACGAGGACGAAGGTGATGAAGGCCAGGGACCAGAAGGTGAGTGACAGACACATCGGGCCTAGCCTCAGCAGTAAAACAGGGAAATTAGGTGTGTGTTTAAACATTCATGTGGACATGTTTTCTTCATGAACATGCATTTGTAAATGGTTGTTTTCGTCCTGTCCTTTCTCAGAGGTGCAGCTTGAACAGAAGAGTGTCCCCACAGCCGTCTTCGGAGGCCTTAAAGAGGACTAAAAGATTCCTCCCACGCTGTATTTCTCAAAGATGCAATTTTCTGATTTCTCTTGTAGACATTGAATATGCTCCATTTTTTCAAATTTGTGTAATTCCTTAGTTGTATCAATTTACTTTATAGAATGGCAGCATTTTTGCCTTTTTTTCCATCCTGGTGGATTTTTGTAGTACAGTACACAAATACAGGACCTTGTATTACTTTTGGCCATATGGTGTCAGTCTTTCTCAAATATCAAGCTCAAGATAATTGTGCAAATGAGCAGTCTTCTGTTATGAAATACTACTATGTGGTTACGTGATAACTGTAACTGAAGTCTGGTGAAGTTCTTGTTTCCAAAAAAAACGTTTTGTAAAAGAATTAACACGTTTGTACACTTAATAAATGCAGAGCTCTTGTTCTGACGGGAAGCTCTGCCCCAGAAAACAAAGGGGGAGGAGCATTATTTGTTTGTTTTCAACAGGAGGCGTTCATTTGAAAGTGGAGCTGAGCATTCAAGCCTCACATTGTTGGCTCGACGATCTCTAGTATGTGGGTGTCTTGCAAAACCCAGTGATCCTGAAAAGATTTCAAAATTAGTAAACAAAAGTTAACCATCCAAATAACTTTCTGGTTGTACATGTATTGTACACGTACACGTTTGCTAAGTTGAATAATAGGATGGTAGTAAAGCATTTAAAACTTATTATTCAGTAGCCCTGCAGTCATTTCCTCATGCCCACTTCTTGTGCCAGGTGCAGGTGTTTACTTTCCCACTGATCATTTTAGAAGCTGGAGGTATTAATGCTGTAGTTTCTGTCAGTCAGTGTTGTTGAGGGTCTGATCGTGACCCAATGCAGTTTGATAATTTTTGGTATGGACAAGACTTTCTTTTTAGGTTCTCTGATTGCCACTGCATATGTTTTTGTGAATTATGCATCATCAATTCTAACTGACAAGCTGGTGTATTTGAATGTCTGAAACTTTATTTACATGTCTTGAAATTTGCAGTTGTGATAAAAATTGATTTATATCTGCAAAGCAGTGACTTTCATCTGACGGGAAATTCTGCACTAAAGTAATTTGGTTTTCTTTCAGAAGGCACATTTAATTTCTGCAAAGCTCCTTTCTTTAGTCTGACACTAAACACATCAAGATTGATGTGCTCCAATAATAGATGTGCAAAGTATTTGTCCTTTGAGATTAAATATGATGTACATCTACTTCAGTATTTAATGTAAAAGGCCTCATGCTTTTAATTGTTTTCATCCCACCATAAGAGTTAAATGAAATGAGGGATAAATTGTTTCTTTCATAATTAGATTGAAATAGCTGAGAGGTAATCCTCTTACAAAGTTACTGCAGCTGGGCACTGAGTGCTCTTGGAACATCATGTGATGATGAGGCTCTCTTGAGATTTCAGTTTTTAAATGGGATGGTGCTTCTGGAAACACTTCAAAACCTATCGAAAAGAAACTCCTGAGTCACAATTAAAATGAAAATTAGAGGCAAATTACACTATTTTCCCTTCCTGTATAGATTTACATACAATTCTATATTTACGCTGTTCCTCTTGTTCCAGCCTTTCTGTTTATACAGCAGTCTGCTTTTAAAGTGCAGCAAGGTATGTAAACAACTGAACATATCTGCATGTTTTTGACATTGCTGCTAATTTCTAACTATTATTTAATCAGGAGCTGATTTATTGTTCTGATTACCCAGCATTGTAATGTGTCGTATGCCTAGCTCTTTATTTCTTTATTTGCATGTTGTTGGGCTCTGGAGAAGCAGAAATAAATGACCAATTAACATGTTACATTTACATTGCATGCTCTTATATTGTTCTTTAATTCAGGACAAACTTAAAAGCATTGACGAATACAAGCTGCCTTGGTTATGGTGGTTTCTAAATGTCTTCATCTCAGCAATAATTGGGCCAAATATTTTTTTGGTCAGAACACATTGTGATGAATGTCATATTTCTCTGGTTTACACAAGCAAATCAAAGTCATTAAAATAGCTTTCCAAAGATCGATAATGTGCTTCAGTGATCTTGGGTCAGAGCTTCTGTTTTTGTTCTCTGTCTGCAAGAGGTCAGGGTCCTTTACAGCAGCACCCCTAAGGCTGATGGAGTTTGCCCAGGTGACTGCAGCACGCCGGTGTTTCATGGTGTTTAACCGGGGTCATCACATCTGAGACAGTCATAAACAGAAAGCTAAAGTCCTACATTTTCGCAGTGTATCTTGACCCTGAATTTACCGCCTTTCAAGTGTGAGAAAATAAAACGTGAGACGTTTCAAATGTAAATACAGGCAGTACAGGGACCACAATGTCGGCTTCAGAGGTGGAAAGTAAGTATATTCAGTCTAGTACTGTACATACAATTTTGAGGGTACTTGAGTATTTCCAATTTATGCTTCTTCATACTTCTACTGCATTACATTCCAGAGACTTTTACTCAACTACATTTATCTGACTGCTACATTGTTACATTGGTTGTTACATTCAAAACATGACGTCAACTTTAAAAAAAAAAAAATGCATAATGCATACCCACACAGGTGTTAGCAGTTGTGTTTACTCATGTACATTCTGAATCCAGGACTTTACTTGTTGTGGAGTATTTTTACATTGTGTTTTATATATAAAAGATGAAATCTTTAATTGTTTGTGTCACAGTAATATTTGTGTCATGAGGTCACTTTTAGCTGTTTTGACGTTTCCAGTCAGAGGATGTCCGGTCATGCGTTCACCTGATTGAGCAGATGAACCTGTAGCAGGAGTCACACCAACACCTCCACCTGCTGTCTGTGTTCACACAGGGAGGTCCCGCCCTCAAGCTCGTTTTCTATTGGACGGAGAGATGAGTGAGTGATGCCGGTGTGGAGCACCTGGTAGTCAGTCATCGGCCCGGGCTCATTGGAGCTGCGCATAGTGAACGGAGTACACAGCAATGCGGACGAAGAAGGGCAAAAACAAGGGGAATAGTCCGTTTTTCCTCTAACATCCCGGTGGATCGGGGCTTCGCTCGGTCGTACGGAACGATTTACGCACACGGAACCGCACAGAAAAGGGACATTAACTGGCTTGGAAGCAGCTCCGTGGCGGATATTTTCCCAACAAAACCTTAACCCACATTTGTATTCCTAGTCCCCGGGTCGTGTGGAACAGTCCGCTATAAATAATGATTGCTTGAATATTTTTGTAGCGTTTTTTTTGCCAGCAACGCTTCACGTTTTTTGTTGTTGTTGCAAACTCGCTATGGTGGACTCCCTTACCATGAGGAAGACTTTTGTGGTCCCCGACATAAAGCCATTGGATTTGTATGACTGTACGAAAGCGAAAATATGCGCAAGTGTCGGATGGCTGTTGGCAAAGTCCTACGGCAGTGCAGGTGGGTTTGAGTCCAGGCTGCGGGCCTGCTGAGTGTCCATGTTATTATGAGAAGTAATGCGAAGACCACTATCCTTTTGTTGACCATCAATATGTATATCCTGCTCAGCAGTGTAGCGAAAAGCACATGCATGTAGGGAAACAGGAGAGTGTGTGTGTGTGTGTGTGTGTGTGTGTATAGCTCAGCGGTTTTCAGCACAAAGAGCAGCAGATGAAAGGGGGACCATGCACGGTGCGGAGTTTTTGTGACTCTGACACATGTCATTTGTTCTCACTCAGTGAGTGGTCATATTTTAAAGGTGAGCTAATGTGTGAGTCAGAGGAACGGGCCTCCTCCCCTAGGCCTTATCACGATAACCCATTTTGCCGTGTTTCTAACCGCCAGGCTTCAGACACAAATTGCAGGCTTACTGGGTATGTTTTTTTTTAATCCGGTTACATATAGCACACGGGGCCTAGATGATGGTTTTCAGTAGCCTATACACCCGCTCCTCGCTCTGTGGCTTTCTTATATTCTCGGTCAACAAACGCTTGTGAGAAACCAGCCAGCCACTGTGATGCACAACACACCCACCTAATAAATGGAATTGTGTTGCGTAGATCACACGTATCATAAGACGCAGACTTGCCTCAGGTTTCCAGAGACGAGGGGAAGAACAGCGCCAGCGTTTGACCCTGAGGTGATAAGAAGTCTCTCTTGTTTTAGAGCACTATCTGGTAAAGATAAGATCTGTCAAAGAAGACACCAAAAACAGTATGCTCCTTTGTTTCATTTTGAGTAGACACATTAGTCTAATGATGGATGTCTTGGACTGTTTATCCTAAAGTAATTGGTTACGTTTACTTAATTAAATGACACAAGATAAAAGGCAGTATAGAAGCACATTCTTGTTCCTGGGATGTGCATGTAAGTAAATCCTCAGTTAATACTCAAGGTTTGGATCACAGACTCAGTTTCGGCTAGAAGGATGTGTGAAGTTTACTCTATTGTACTTGCGTTCCACACAGTCCCAGGCCGGCCTTGTGTCTAGGACTACAGGCTGCTGCAGCTCTGTTTAGCACCTCAACCACGCCCCTCTGGTCAAAGTCACTTTCCATGCCGAGATACAAGAACATGAGGAACATTTCTGCAAAGTCAAGATGACATCATCTAGTCTCCTCTCCCAAAAAAAGCTGAGCATGGGTAGAACAACAGATAGCACAGCAGGAGGCAGACCGGGTCATCTGGTCCTCAGCTCTTCCAGGTCAATTAACCTCATGATAACAATAGGCGACATTTTTAATCTGAGTCTTTACACTACAAAATGGACTTTCACATAGATAGACGGCACACTGTCTGCTTCTCATATCTTTATTTAGATGGAGGAATGCTGAGGTTAGACGGTAGCTTTTAATGGGAACTGGTAAGCACCAAATGATAACTAAATGAAAAAAGATCTCTAGTCTTTATATAGGTTACCCTAAATTGAATCCATGTGCAATCACGATAATCTGAAAGCTGCTTATAGGCTTGGCTTGGACTGAAATACCTATGCTGGCATGAAAAAAAAAAAAAAACCCTACCCCAGAAAAAAGCAGTGCACAGAAAACAGTTTTAAACATAGTCACTAGAAGATCTTCACCACTATTAAACCCATCGTGTAAAGTAACCGTTTCTCTAAATGCTAAAGAAAAGAGCTTCTGCAATTATTTATCTGTCTCCTTTCGCTAAGGAAACACAGACGCATCCTTTTTATGAGAGGAAAGGAGATCTAGCATCCCCACAATGCTTTGCACTAGCAATAGACGGCACACAATGTGGGTGTTCCCTATAGGCTGTTTGAGCCACCTGGTAGCATTATGTTTGGACTTTCATAATAACATTAAAAACCAGCATAAAGTCTCATTACTTGCTCTAATACGCTGTAAATAGTTAATGCTGCTTCATCACAGTTATAGATGTCAAAAAGTGCTTACTATACTATTTTTCTATTCATATTTCCACATTTACTTCATGAGGCTTTATGCATCTTAAGATATGCGTTGTAGATGTTTGGCTGCTCGATACCCAAACGGACTCAGAGGAGTGTCTTATGATCTTTGGTAACGCCTTGACAAGTCATTTATGAATAATGTTATAATCAAGGTGAAGGAAAAGACGTTGGGCAAGGTTGACATTTACAATCTTCCCTTGTAGTTGCTGTGACAGATGAATCATTTAAGGGTGACTCAAACTAGTTTGTAACTTTACTTTGGAATGAGACCAGAAACTCTTGATCCACAAGTTTGGAGGCTCGGGAGGAACAAGTTCACGTAAACTGTCCATGCTTTTTAATTCATCTGTTAGCAACTATATTCCCACTGATGGAACCGCTTATTGGCCAGATGTTTGGGTCATCAGTCTCTTTGTTACCCTCTCCTGATTTGTTTTTGTTCTTGAGGCAGTGAAACCAAACCACCTTGTACCTGCATGTTTCAAAACGTGTTTCTTTTACATATTAGCTCCACCTAGCTACAAAGCTGCTTGGATCACACTGAAAGCCTACAGGAATGATTACTCATCCTCTCACCAACCTTGTAACTATGATGAGTCAACAAGGGACAAGGACTTGAGGAGGATGTTTAATTGCTTTTAGTGTTTACTCAAGATGTAGGAAATCCTATTGGTTCACTAGATGAACCTCTCACAGACTCGGGTTAACCCCTTGATACAGTTATTGAGTCGCAGTTTGTTTCAGGATAATGTGAAACTTTATTGAAAGAGAAGTAATTTCACAGGGAATACGCAATACAGAACATTATACAAAGATTTGATTGGTAGATGGTGTCTAACTTGAGGACACGTCCCAAAGGCAGATGCATCCTGCACACTTTGTTACTCTGTCGTCCTGTTGGGCTCTCAGGCACCCGTAATGTAATCACTATCTCCGTCTATAGGATGTGCGTCTGTGTACTCTGGCCCTGTAATGCAATTTAAAGCCACTGTTTCTCATGTCATACTAGAGCACTGTCAGTGAGGATGTAGTACAGGATACACAGGGCCGTTAGGGACGGCATATTCCTGGCAAATTGACCTGTGCATGTATTGGGGGGGTTGGGAGAGTGCTTGGCGTGTGCTTTTTCCTTCTGAGCACAGCCTATCGGATGTTGGTTATTGATTCATTGATTTGTGTGCATGCATATTTTTTTCCGTTTCAGCGGTTGACCCAAGGGAAGTGGAACAGATGAACTGTCACATTAGCTGAAACTGCAATGCAATGGCAGTTTATTGATGATTTAAGATATTCCTTCGAGCCAGAAGATGATGATGCATACATCTGATAAATGCATCGTCTCTCCCAGTCTTGCCTGAGATGTCTAAGCTGTAGTGTTTGTGTTGGCATTACCATTTCACTCACAACTGGTGGTCACGTGTAGGTTAGGGTGTCAATATAGCCCCTCTCATTACCTCTCGATTTTGGGGCAACAAAACAGAACCTGCTTTGTTGTATGAGAGTGGACAATCATCTGTGTTTGATCTGCCACGTGATGAGTGTTTATAGCTCAGTTCTCCAAGGAGGACTTAGAAGTCACAGGCAACAGCATTATGAAAACACGTAATGCGGAGTGAATACTTGTATTCTCCTGAAGTGGCATTGTAGGAAACAAAGTTGTCACTAAATTATATTTAGGTGTTTTGATTGGGCATGTATGCATGCACTGATGTCTAAACATGACAGGGGGGGGGTTAAGTATGGTTGATTTTAAACTTCCTGTCTGTATGCTTATCTTGCACGCTTCTGCATATCTGAGCTGTTATGAATTATTTAATCTGTGTCAGGGTCCCTGAAGGGTTCCAGTAAGCAGCCGGTTAGTTTAGATTGTCAAATCCAGCAGGTTCTGCAACCTTTTAATGTCATTAATAGACGGGGTTAATTAATATTAACTGTTACCGTGATAACCTTCTTGCAATCCAATGCTGATTGTTCCACTTAAATGTAAAGTGAGAAGGGATGTGTGGTGGGGGTCATGTCTGGTTTAAGCTGTGGCTGATTTTCACCAACCTCTGTTTGGATGCGTTTCTGCTGCTCTGTGACACGACCAGCACGCTAGCTCAGTCAGCCAATGAAGCAGAAGGACACATGGCTCCTGTTATCAGCAGGCTATCGAGCCATGTCGGTCAGGACGGATAGGAGCTAAACACGGCTGAACTGTTGCAGCCATGACGGCAAAGCTGCGTCAGTCCCACTATACTTTTTAATGGCTTAATTTGAATCTTTTTACAGTTTTACACACCAGCTCAACACTGAAATGGTGCTGTTGTCTTTCTCGGTTTGTTTTTTTTATTGTGAGGATAATAACAACAGTGTGGCACTGCTGTAGAGAAATTCTCATTTTGTTTTCCGCCTACAGCTACAGTGCAGAACACCTGCAGATGTCTCTGGTCAAAATCTTCTCAGTATGCTCCCTCGAACTTCTCCACTTTATGACTGATCTCCCTGCTCACCCACCATGATAATGTGGTAAAGTGTTAATAAACTTTGCCCACATTTGACTTCTTATTTAGAATAGATGATAAGCACTGACCCCATGACCTGTGAAAGTTGTTGCTCCAGTTTGTGTGTGCGTATACACACACACACACACACACCCACACACACACACAAGCTTGTTTTTTTAATCAAAATATTTCCCTGGGGCTCTATTGATGTCAACATTATGGAGGCCTCACAGTCCTTTTGGCTTGGGCTTGATGACCCTTAAGGCTGCTAACTGGTCATTCTTTGTATTACCTTCCATTCCTTTTAGTTAATTACCATTAGGTGTGTGTGCTCGCTGATGATTGTTACTATTTTTGATGTGCAGTTTTGTAAAATTGTGTAAGGATACAACAACCTTGAGTTTGTGTCTGTGACACTAAGTCATTGTTCATGGCCGGACTGTCTCATATGGAAATCATGCTCGTATCGATCTCTCTCATCTCACACAGTAGTGGCATTTGCATCCTGCTTTGCCTTCTGGGGAAGTTTTTTTCTTTTCTTTTTTTTATATACGTAATTGTGGGAGGAGTTTATTTTCTTTTACATGTATTATGTAAGTACATGGGACCAGGGCTAGAGGTGGGTGTGTCCCAGTGAATACAGCAGTAAAGTGAGCATTGTTGTTCTGAGCTTATTTACAACAGAATGGACCATGTGGGTATGGCTGACAATATTGTCCGACAACTACAGTCATCATGGTGTGAGAGACGGAGAACAGGGCATTGTTAAATCTTTGAAGCTGGGCGTTTTGTTTTGTTGATGTCAGTGGATCTATTGCATGACTTTATAATGATACAGCAACATACTGACACCTCCCTTGTAATAGCCCCTTTGTTTTCTGTTTGGAACATTCGTAGGCACTCGTATGATTCTCTTCAGACGGACAACTTGTTTCCCCAGAAGGCCCTTTAACACTTATTCCAGTATGTTTGCACAGAGATGAGACTGCTGAGTGTGGTGCTCTGGATGCAGAGAAACCAGTTTCACAGGGGGGCGTGTCCAGCATATGTTTTTATAATTACGTTTGTTTGTTATTTACAGAAAGACCAGTTGGAACAGATTCTTTAAAAATCTTTAGCTAGCTACATATTGCTTCACTACACTCTCCTTGAGTTGAGACACAGTTTGAGTTTTCTCATTTGCTGTCAGTTTTTGATCTGGTTGCTTATCTCTGCTTCTGAGATTGATATAGTCGCTAAACAAGTGGCGGAGCATCTTGTAATCTGCAGATGCCAACCTCTGAGCTCATCATGCCCCACTCACCTTGATGCTTGCTCTACTCACTCATATGATTACAGCTCGAGGGTATTTGGTCTTAATCTGCCGGCAAACCTGGCAGAAAGCAGGTTTCCAGGCCGTCAACCAAAAAAAAAAAAACATGCTCAAGATGATCATTGACGACTAATTAGAGAAAATTCCTCCCATTTTCGAACATTCAGAATGTCACCTATACATGTCCCTTGTTTGTATAATTTTGCAACCAGTTCTCTCCCAGCTCCACTGCTCGATGAACCTATCTAACTGTGCCTGTATGTTTTTGTCCCTTGGTAGAGAGTGTCCCTGCAGAGCTGCGTGACCCCTTCTACTGTGACCAGTATGAGCAGGAGCACCTTAAACCGCCAGTCACGCGCCTCCTGCAGTCGTCGGAGCTCTACTGCCGGACGTACGGCCTATTACTGGGGGGCACCGGTGCCGAGGCGCAGCCCAAAGACAACGTCGCCCTGCTGCAGCTCCTCACTCAGAGAGGCATCGTCTCCAAAGACCAGGACACACCGGTGACCGATGCAGACCTCCGACACAAACCCATCAAAATGGTAACGTTACGCTTCAGTCATAGGAACCGTTAAACACATGAAGCCACACAAGTCTGGCATGCAATGTTGTTGGTAGTGGAAGGGATTGAGTCAAAGAAATGTCAGAACTGTTGTTTGTCTATCGCCTTAAGGAGTAAACGTCTCCTGTGGAACCGGATGCTCTGCTATCCAGGAGTCTGCAGAAAAGCACAAGGGGGTCGAGTGGGCTCGGTTGTTGATATAGGGGCTTGTTTATGCTTTGATTCTAGGGATTAAAGGACATCAAAAAGACCCCACTCATTCAATCCTGCCACCATCCCCCCCCCATGCTGCCCCCCAGCTGATCCCAGAGGATGAGTGGATCCAGCTGCTAAGACAAGGGGCAGTCATGGGGACACAAGGGAGGAATACTTTTAGGAGGAGAGAGTGTCAATAGATGTTCCAGATCTGGACAATAGCTAAATCGTTCTAGTAAAACTTTAGATTCTGTGTTGAGAGAGTGCTCTGGGCTGGCCCAGTGAGTTAAATCCAGAGAAACTGGTTTGTCCTCTTTCCCCTTGAAAATCTCTCTCTCACTCACTCACTCACTCACACACACACTCACACACTCACTCTAGTCCTGAATTATTCAGCCTGAACACCTCAAGATAACTACGTTTATTTTCAAATTAGGAATCTTAACGATCTGAAAGGAGAGGGATGCTTTTAGATTTGTTAGAACATATACTTCTTTTTTTGCTTCCGCTGACGCAACAATGACTCATTGTAACTCACTTTTAGTATTGATACAAAACCTCTCTCTATACAGCTTATTATCTTCCTCAAAAAGTGTCCTACAACTGCATTTGCCCGGTTATCTTGGTTCATGCATTTACAGGCTGCTGTGTTTTATTTAAAGCCAAGTAAGGAGTCTCCAGGGATCTGGGTGGATGGTGTTGTTTTTAGGTGGAAGCTGTTTGTTCCACCGCCGCTGTCTCCTGGCCACTGTAGCAGGTGCAGCACTGCTGCTGGTGATTAGCTTAATTGTATGCTGGAAAAGGTGTGCATGCATTTGTAACATTTTCTAAATTAGATAACATAGAAATTGTGTGACCATAAGCAGTAAAGCCTGGTGATATGAGCATTTGGATGTTAGTTAATGCAATATTGTGGTACAGCTACATCTAGTATGAAAAAATGAATGTAAATACTTGTACTTTGGAACCAGGCAGTTAGTTTTATACAGATAAAGATGAAAGACACAGGAAGAGCGCTGGTAAGGACGGAGTGGAGAAGGTTGCTTTAATGGGGATTTCCTTTCTATTTATAAATACCAAGTGTTTCGCCTTATCCTGTACCTACCTATTTCCAAAAAGTAATTACACAACAATGTAAGTCTTAGTATCTATTTCAATCGTTTGCCATCAATTTCAATCATTTTCAGTGCTGCTATTGTGCGTTAGTTTAGTCTTTTGATAAAATCCTCATCAAACATTGGCCTAAAGCATGTCACATGCACCCTCCTTATGCATTGAATGTGTGGTCATATAGTCCACCTACTAGAGGTCTGCACAGGACTGCAGACAGGATCACAGACCTGCTTGCCCTTGAAGGATTTCTCACAATAACCACCTGCACTGACAGATGTACCATTTTATACCGTGGCACCAACAAGGCATTCAATGTAAAATATTTTTTATGCTAGCATGAAAGATTAAAAATTGTGGTTTGTAGACTACATCATCATCATTACAGCACCAGCAATAATGGGCTGATGACACAGTAGAGCTCCTTCATGCAAGATGTTGCTGTACTTTGTGTGTGTGCGTGAGTCTGTCTGCTTGCGTGCGTCTCAGTTCTGGGTGATGCATTCAGGCCAGACCGTGGACCATCTCCGCTGTAAATCCTAACCTTTAAACTCCTATTTCGGCTGGTGCTGTTAATGCTGCATGGCCCGTTTGATGCGTTGGTATATGAGCCTTCCAGTCGCTGCTTGTTCCCTGGGCTCCTCTCTGAGCTTGTCTGTCGCTGACTGCCACTGTAGCTACAGTGTGGCAAGCAAAGAAAGTGGGTCACGCTGCAGCAGCATTAGAAGGATGGAGCATCGATGTGGGTCTTGGCTAGTAAACGGCTTTGGAGCAGCAGCAGCGATCTGCTGCAATGCTGCTGTATATTAAATCTTCAAACGTCCATGTCAAACCAGAGGATAAGATATACTGCATGTACAGAAATGTATGTTGACTTTTCACTTTGTTGATAGGAAATTTGGCTCATGTATAAATCCAGGGATGTAGGCTTACACTAACCCATAGAGATGCTGGTACTGGCTTGAGTTGCTGGACCAGCATCAGTGCAGAGCGCCAATGACCCACTCTATATAAAACTACACCGTCGGTGCTCTGATCAAAGTAGGGCAAAACAATAAAAAGGACACATCAAACTGTAAGCTTCTGCTACATGATGAAGAAGCTTTTGCTGTTTGTCCCCGCTTCTAGACCTTGACATTCCTTAGTAAATAGTTAGATTAAAAACAATTAACGAAGAAAATGGTATGAGCTGCGTGATCTGGGACAAGAGGAAGGTCCCTCTGAATTATAGGTAATAATATAAGAAATTAGGTCACATCTAAAAATTTATTATTTTGACAAAATAAGCTCAGAAAAGAAGGCAAACTGTATTTATTTACTAATCTTCTTTTTTTGCATGCTGTTGTTACCACTATATTTATAAACTAGCTGGAAACATGAAGGTCTAAAAGTCAAACTTCGTAACGTAAATACGCATTATTGATTTAATATGAAGCATCTTGTGGTATTGTATGCGGTGTATTGTAAACCGATGCACGCTGGACATATCTGTAAAAAAGGTACTGACAATAACTTTAGGAATTTTATGTTATTTATCATTGACATTATCTTGTAATAGTTTCCACAAAACCCCAAAAATGTTGAACCTTGAGAAAATATAGGTACATGGATTTGGGTAATTCAGCACAGAGATGAGTATTGATGCATCTTGAAACAGTAAATCAATGGCACTTCTCCTGCTACCTAAGCTAGCATTTGTAGATGGCACATCCTTGGGGCTAAGCAGAGGAACCCCCAGCTGCCTTCATCCCCTACTTGCTACATCTATGTATATACGTATGTATACGTGTGTGTGGGCGGGTGTGTGTGTGTGTGTGTGTGTGTGTGCGCGCCCTACTGGTAACTGTCCTTCTGGTGGTGGCCCAGCCCAGATTAGAGATAATCTCCCACGCAGACTGAACGTCATCATCCACGATTGGATGACACGCCAAGAGATGACCACCATTGCATCTACCATGTCTGACAACATCAAACTGATTTGTTGCATTTATTGTTGGTTGGGACCGTAGAATATAATCCTAATCATCCATTTCAAATATACTGATTACACTAGAGATGGGGTTGAGCATTTGTTCCCACAGTGACAAAGTAAGTCATGTAGCTATAATGCAGCTAACCCTCTTCCCGGTCCCCTGTTGGTTTTGGATCGGCGCTGACACTTTGTCTTAAATCATACTGCTGTGTTGGCAGGTTTCTGGTCATGTGAGCATCAGTCCGGAGCTTAGTTGAAAATAGAAGTGGCACACTATCAGAAATGCTTTCCATCATTTTACACCATTTGTTCTGCTTTGGGCCTTCACTGATTGTGGAGTAGTAATTAAACGTATCTACCGTATGGTAAACAGGTTTGCTGTGAAGCTATTGTAGATAGGTTTTCCTTGCTGAAGCATCCAGTTCTTATACATATAACCATGTGCTTCTTGTCTAAGATCCCCTGCTGATCCCCTTGTTTGTCTCCCCCTCGGTTGGCACCAGTCAGGAAGGGGTGGGGGGTTGGGTTAAGTCATATTTCAGACATAATCAGATTTTGCTCCCTCATAATCTTGCTTAATGATCCATAAGATGCCTTTGCCTTCTTTGTACGACTGGTTGTTGACATGATTATGCAAGCAAATTTACCTCATAGAGCCTTTAAATATTTTATGTTGATGGGGTTAATTGATGGGGTATCACTTTTCCCTCTCGCTGTTGCATTGTTTTGATGGGTGCTAACCGTTTGCTGGTTGGATTTTTCAGAGCAGAGGGCCGGTGCTCAGCCAGGGGCACGGAGCAATGCTGCGGTCAGGCTTGTGTCGAGATGCATTGTGGGTCAGCTGGATGGTTGTTATGGTGATCTGGCAGGCTCCTCTCTCCCCCTCTCATTAGGGAGACTTGTGATTTAGCTTAGCGAGCTCTCCCGGGTCTGCAGCGAGAAATCCACTAGCAACCCCCCCATCTTCCCGTTTATTCCGCACTGTTTTGTCATGAATCACCCTCTACTCTCTCTTCTGTTGTACAGTATGACCTCAAGGTTTCATTAGGTCTGCCATTCTTTCTGCTTCATTTCCTCTTTTTTTTTTTCTCTCTGTCATCCTGTCTCCTTTCACACTGTGACAATAGCTCCAACCGATGATTTGTGGCTAAACGCAAAAATATGCGACTACATTAAATCACTTTGAGTGTTTGAAACACAGCTACTGGCACAATTTAGCAGCAGTCTGTTTCTTTTGTTCTCAGTCCTACCTTTACAGAGAAAATTATTGGGTTGAACTGGAATGCTTTGTATTGAGAAGTATGATCTAATATTTTGAATTTCCCAAATATCAGGAACACAGGTCAATATAAATATAGTTTAAATAACAACTCTTCAAATGTTTTATTAATATTGCAATATGGCAAATGCACGCAAAATAACAGTGTTTTATCTGTTTGCATCAGAAAGAACTCGTGCGAAACAGTATCTTACGTTTGCTCAGGATTCTTATCTTGGGCAAAGGAATGTTTTTTTAAATGATAATATAATATATAACATCAATGAAAGTTGATAAATGATCTTATTGAATATGTGCCAATCCCCAGCATATCAGATTGTGGCTAGCTCTGAGAAGCCCCAGTCCCCGTAGCAGGCCATTTGTCCTCTGAACAGACAAGTCGTGCCACAGACGCACAAGCAGCAGCCCTCATTGTGGCACCAGTGTTGGGGAGGGCAGGCCAGCAGTGACTGACTGCAGCACACATCCAGAGAGCCTGGACCAATGCTATCTGACAAGCCTTTGCTGGCATAGCCCGCCCTGCCTGCCACAGCACTGGGTCTGCCCAGGTCAGCACTTTACATCAGGGTTGAGTAGGCAGACATGCAGACGGGGCTCATGCACGCAGCTGGACCGCCACCAGCCATCATCTGGGACAACGTAAGAGGTTAAAGGAGGAATGTCTGGCCTCTAGAGTGGATTTCGTAAGTAGTAAAAGGGAACAGGCACCGACTTCCTCAGATTAGGCTCAAAATTGAAGGTTGGAGATTGAAGGAGTGGCCCCATGACAGGAATGTGTTGTTTTCGACCTGCCTGTCCTCTCTGTTGGCCAGAATTGATTATCATAACAAGGTGCTTGTTGCAATTAGCCGACTAGCCAAAAATAGAAGGATCATGCGTTCAATTTCTTTACCATTAACAAAGGAGTTATTAGAAAACACCTCTAGTCCTGACTTTGTTAATGAGCTATAGTCCTGTTGAGGCTTTCTAAAACTACAAATAACTTAATTTAGCAGCTACTGGGATTATCTTGATAATTGCAAAAGAAAACAAATGGATGAAAACCTGGACAAATGAAAGGGGTACTTGATCAGGCATAAACCCCCTCTATGAATCAAAGGTTCTTTAAATGGTTCAAATATCCGAATCATTTACAACAATGTGGAGGTCAGACATATAAAATGCTGTTGGTTGTTGATCTGTGGCACATACCCAGCAAAACTCCTAATGAGCTAACCGGTTTATAGAGTTAAGGCGCTCTGTCTGACTGAGCTGACAATGTTGATGGTGCATTTTAATTGGCTCGAGTCATTAGAAAGGGCTCTTTGATGTTCTCCTAATTATAATGAAATACACTTATGTCTGTCCGGTAAAAATGCTTGGCAACGTCAAATATGTGAAATGACATTTTTATAGTTTGATTCTTGTATTTTGTGTAAAAAACTATCTTCATTAGATTTTATATCCATTATGTTTCCTGACAAAAACAGACTCGTATGCCAAAACTGCAAAAAAAGACACGGAACACCTGTTTCTTACCGGGAATTCATTGTTGTGCTTCCTGGTAATCTAGTAACGACACCTCATCCTGTAGTCTGTTGCACATGAGTCATAGAGCAATATTTCACTGTGCAAAAGGGAAAGGCAGCACACTGAAGAGAAGGCAAATAAAGCTAAAGCAGCTGAGGAATGACAGTCCTAGCACACGCATGTTATCATATTATGGGTCCATTGCTTATTTAAGGACTTAATGATTGTACAAACACGAGTCCAAAGTTCACCCGCAACTACTGATGTGTGCGTTTGCTTGTTTAAAACTCGCGTTAGTGTTTCTGCTGACTCACAGTTGGCTTCTGGTGACCTCTGGAGGATGCTGCTGGTAAATAATGCTCGTGCCGCAGCAGTTAGCTGTGATCTCTGCTCTGCAGTTAGCAGTGCCCTGCTAGAGCAGTAAAAGTGTCAGTGTCCAGCATTATAGTGTTTGCTGTCATTGATTGACGCTGTCTTCTCCTTCTCCCGTGTGATTGGTGCAGAGTGCTCACCTGGCAGTGATGGATGCCTTGATGGCCATGGGAGCTATGGAGACGGTGACTGCGGTGAGGACATGTGGTTCTGCCGAGCTCCTGGGTGGAGCCTCCAGCTGGGAGGAGGCTCTGCTTCATTGGGTTAATCGGGTAAGGAAGCCTAAAGAGAAACAATGCTCGTTTCAAACACATCTTTATTGTATTAGTTTGGAAAATTACTTGTTCAGAACCACTGTTGTAGATGATCCAGTGTCTGTTTAGCTACATAAATAAGGATGCTGTAAATCACTGTGTCTTACCAAGGTGATAATGCACAGTGTACCGTAAATCTGTGATACATGCATGTTAACCATTTTGGCGTCTTGGCATGCTCTCAGTTAAACCAGAAGTTAAGAGAACGTACTGAAGGAGCCCAGAATGACACGTCTCAGGCCACGACAGAGCCCCAACCTGTTCAACCCTCTGTGAGTATTGCATTACACATCCAGCGTATACGTATCTTTCTCTTGTCACACATTATTAGAACCAGACACGCATGATAATCTGTCGAGGATTATGCACTCAGTGCTATAAAAAGGCACCCAAAGTACTATGGATTAAGCTGACATTGTTGGTTCTGCTACACTTTCTAGGCCTTTGCCAATTCGAATGCTAAAAGCACAGCCAGTATTGGTTGACACAATAACACTAAAGGGTAGCGACATTGCTTTGTCAACAAGGTTGTCTTGTCATTACAAGAAAGTACCGTCATCACAGCCCTTTCTAAAGTTTGTCTAGTTCTTCCACTCTAGGCTTAATACCTCTGCTTGTGCTCCTGTTCTCCATTTCCTTGTCTTTCTGTATTTCCTGTCCCTCCTCCTCTCTGACAGTGTCCTACTCGCTGGTACTGGAAACTTGTTCCTGTAAGTTCCTTCCTTTCCTCTGCTCCTTCCCCCTGTCCCTCCATCTCTCCAGTGTCTTCATCAAATGTATCAGCAAATATCTGATGGTCAGGTGTTTTTTTTTTTTTTTTTTTTTTTTTTTTCTTTTTTCTTTCTCCATATGCTGGTGTGAGAATACTAATGTGCATCACATCCTAACCTGCATTAAAGTGCACGTCACAGCAGTAATGTCAATAGGGGCGGGGTCACTGTTTGTTTGACAAACGAGTGGTGCATGAATCACAATTGGTACTCCAGCCGGCCTTAAACCTGCCGTGTACAACCGGTTTCTCTGGTCGTCTGTGCAACAGAGGTGCGTGAATGTCTGCGGAGACCAGCTTCAAGTCAGCTGGTCCCTGCAGACAGTGAGCTGTTTGTATATATACACCGTAGTTAACTGTTGCACCTGAAACATTTGTTCTCCCTCTCTTGCCTTCTGAGATTCTCATTTGTCCCACTTTCTCCTCACAAAAGCTTCCTCCTTTCTGCTCTGATTAAGTCACTCACGTTGCATCTGTCATTTGTTCACCATAGCTCTCTCTTGAACACATTAGCATGACCTTTATTTGTTTTCCTTTCTTACTTGCATACTGCATGTAGTGTTTAACATTTTCTGTTATGTGTCACAGTGTGTGGATAGACTTCCAACCATGTTTGGAAAACCCTGACTTTGATGATGGTCTTAACATTAACTAATATGTGAAATATTGTTCATATAAACATTAACAAATTACCATTAAGGCCACCCTGCAGTATTTGATTGACTTGTTTGTGTGTTGTTGCTTTTTTTTAGCTCCGCTACAGGAAGGATAAAATGCAGTCCAAACAAAAGCCCATCTTTCCGGTGGTGAATGAAGTAAAGGACCTGTCCAGTGGTTGTGCTGTTGCTGCAGTCATACATTACTATTGCCCTGGCCTGCTAAGACTTGAAGGTACCAGCAAAGCTTGTAACCCTGAACAGCCTTTTAGTACTTCTGTCAGTTTAACCCTTTCCCCCCCTCGCTCTGTAAGATGTTTGCATGAAGGAGTCCATGTCTGCAGTAGACGGCCTGTACAACCTGCAGTTCATCCATGAATTCTGTGACAGCTGTCTGAAGAGCTGCTGTCACTTAGCACTGGAGGACATGCTATACACCCCACAGGAGCTTCAGGTGCTTGCCTTCAAACTCCTGATTATTAATCGACTGATTGAGACATTAATAAAAATATTCTTCTATCTTCCGAATGCCTGATTTATTCTGTCTTGATTTATTTAGCCTAATTTGCTGAGCTTCCTAGCAGAACTGCTTAGCTGGTTTGAAGTACGAAGGCCAGAATTTGTTCAGCCAATAGACACGTTGGGTAAGTGTTGGCAACTGTTGTGGTCCTGTGTAATCCTATCAGTGAGATCATTACAATGAGTATCCGTGACAAAGTCTGATTTGAGTGTTTTCTTTTTTGTTAGATGGATCCACACTAGCAACACCAAGTAGCTTGAGTGGTAGCAGGTACAGAAGCTGTCTGAATATGATTTAGCTTTTTTTAGTAGTCTGGCATGTTGTTTACTGAAAGATTGTTTCTCTGCCTTACAGTACCTCCCCTTCTATCTTCAAGAAGCCTTTCCTACCCATCTCCTCTCCTGCGTCAGGTAAAATTAAGACCGTGTCCTGTCATCATTACATCAAGCTACAGTGTTTTGTATGTTTCTACCATTTTACAATCTGGTTCACCTATTCCCCTCAATCCTTGTTTGTCTTTTAGTTGTTTTTCGTGTTGTGTATATTTTTATTTTTTTCGTATTTTCATTATTTTTTGGTGTATTGCTTGTTTTGTGCATCCCTGTGTGGTGTGCATGCCTTTACGAGTCCGTATGTCCCCCATTGTACTCAGGATCTTTGACTCAGTCTACCTCAATGTCTCATATAGAAGGAGTTGGAAAGACATGGAGCAAAAAACCTCTCAGGTAGAACTCACCTATTCATTACCATTAAAACACTGTCTTGTTTTACTTATTTTTATTGTACTTACACACGCTTATTTTTCTTCTTAGCCGCCCCTTGTCAGCGGTGTCCTTCAGCATTCCTTTTGGCCTGGACAGTGATGTGGACATCGTGATGGGCAACCCTGTGATGACCCGCTCTGTGAGCTCAGACCAACTCAACCCAGCAGGCCAAAATATGACCCGGGTGCCCAACTCCCCTCCTGAAGACCTCAGCCATTTGCTGAGCAAACCCCCTGGCTCCAACGGTCCACAAAGAGCTTCTTGGGCCACCCAGACTCCTAGTGTTCCAAGGTTGGCAGAGGAGAACGGCCTTGTGGCGAGTGAAACGGGAGAGCTGCCTACCATTGAAGAGGCTCTCCAAATTATCCACAACGAGGGCAAGATGGAGCCTCGTTTACACCCTGATGGTGCTCCTGATGGCTTCTACCTCCACTCTCCTGATGACCCTGCTAGTTCCAGACATAATAACTTACCACCCATCAGCTGCTCTGCCCCTACACGCTCAGGAATGATGTACCGGCCCACGGGAGAGTCCAAGGAGCCCACTCGCATCAGAAACGCCTCTGAATGTTCTCGAGATGATGACTCGGTCTTGAGAGATGGCAGTGTAGACTCTGATGCATCAGAAGACCTGCCTAAAGCCCTGTCCACTCCAACCACACCTGCTGCTGGTTCACACTCTGCCAGAGGCCATGGCAAAGAGGGGTCTGATAGTGGTGTGAAGATGACCAGCTTTGCAGAACGCAAAAAGAAGCATATTATGGATTCTCCTAAAGCCAGCCAGCCCTCTTCTTCTTCTTCTCAGATGACCACATGGGCACAAAAGTCTGAAGAAAGCCCCAGCAATAGCCCTCAACTCAACAATGAGATGTCTGAGCTGGGAACTCGGCTTGAAGAAAAGCGCAAGGCTATTGAAGCCCAGAAAAAACGCATTGAGGCCATTTTTGCAAAGCACCGACAAAGACTGGGGAAGAGTGCCTTTCTGCAGTTAAAGAAGGATCAGCGTGAGGGGGAAGGGGAAGGAGGGGATGGTCAGATCAGCACCTCATCCACAGAAGAAGACCTCTCTCGCTTGACACTTGATGAAAGGCTTGCTCGAATGGAAGAGGAAGAGCAGCAAGAACAAAATGAACAGCGCCCCTCAGTGGAGGATGACGGTAATGTCAAAGTAGGACTTCAGCTCAACAAACAGGTCAGTCACTCCAAAGAAAAGGCAGGTACACCAGGAGAGAAGGGCTCTGGGACTCATGGTGAGAAAATGGTAGCTCCACTAGGGGACTATAACAATGCCGTGTCCAAGCTGACTGTAGCTCTTAGCTCTCTGCAAAGTGACATGCAGCGGCTGACCGAGCAGCAGAACCACTTAATCAAGAAGAAAGCTGTAGATTCCAGCCCTAAAACCTCCACCCCAGCCCCTTCACGCCTGTCGCGCGAATCCACCCGCGATTTCAATTCAGCCTCCTCCTCTCCATCTCCATCCCACAGACTCATAAACCACACCACTCCTCCTAAATCCCCTAAAGTCCACCGTAGAGCCCAATCTGTGCCCCCTAAAAGCCCCAAACACAACCAACACAGCCGTTCCTTGGAAGTTAAGGTTCCAACCATATCGAGGGTTATGATGACCGCACCTCAAAACGTGGACCGCATCCCCCACCTTCGTCGTGTCAGTCCTTGGCAATCCAAAGACCAGTCTTTGTCCTCATTCACCATTGGTGACTCTGACAACCTAGATGAGCTGCACTCATCTGGACCAACTCCTGTCCCCACGCCAACACTGACCCCTATACCTACTCCCCTTCCCGATGACACAATGTCAGAGGTCGGCTCCAATGACGATCATAGTATATTTAGCATGGACCTGGAGGCCGGGTCCTCACATGGTCTTTTGGCAAACAAGAGGCTTGCAGATGGGGGCTGCAGCTCTGGTGCCCCATCAGAGTGCTCCTTCGAGAGTGATGCCACTGCAGGGATGTTGAATGGCAAACGCAGTAGCCTGATAGAGATCTCGCTGTCTGCCATGCGAGGAGATGGGGAGGACGACGACCAAGTACCGGACGCTTTCTCCGACTCGATGAGTGAACGGCTGGAGCCAGAGGCGAAAGGAGGAGTCGGTTTCTTTTTCAAGGTAGGCAATTATTATTGCTGTATACCTTTTTCTAAAAATGCCGCATTTTGTAAGGTCGGTGCATTCATGCCTTTTTTTATTTCGGTCTTCATTATTAGGATGACGAGGTACGACCAGAAGACGAGATGGCCCAGCGAAGAGCAGCTTTGCTGGAAAAACAGCAGAAGAGAGCAGAAGAGATGAAAAGACGCAAACTTGAGCAGGAAAAAGAAAAAGAATCAAAGTGAGACCCTTTTTTTGTTTCAGATACCTGCAATCATAACCAAATGAAGACTGTAGCATATACTATCTAACATTAAGATTGGTCATATTTGGATATTATTGTAGCCATATTTTTTTAAGCATACACTGTATCTGATTAGGATTTAATGACATATTGTCCGGTGTTTATTGTATGAAACTAATTGTTGCCATCATTTGTCTGATACACCAGTTATGTTTTTATGCCTCCTCGCCAGCAAAAGCTCAGGAACTCTTTTAGGGAGTTTCTTAAAATGTGGTGCAAACGTCGACAAACAAGGCAGCAATTCTAGTTATCATTGGTTTAGCGATATCAGTGTCGCACATTGGAGGTTTTACAGAGTATCTTCCTGTACTTTTAGGAAGCCTCAGTGGATGATCATCGAAGGCTGGGGCAACAAAAGTGAGGACGGACCCCAGACTCCAGGCACCCCTCCAGCATCACGCACCCCACCAGTTGAAGGGACTCCTCAGCGCAGAGGAGACTTCACTCGGCTGGAGTATGAGAGGAGACACCAGCTGAAGATCATGGAAGACTTGGACAAGGTGCTGAGGCAGAAACCCACCACAGTTCGCGGTGTCAAGAAGCAGAGACCCAAGGCTGTGTTCAGAGATGACTCCGTCCTCTCTCATAGCCCTGCCAGGGGTTTCATAGGTAAATAGTATTGATGTTCTTTACCCACCTTGGTGTCAGACTTTTGTATGCCGTCTTCCTACACACACATATGTATTTAGTTACTCAATACGGTTTTCTTTTTCTTCCTTCTAGGCACCAAGGTGTACTCCCGCTCAACCATGAACCTGTCCTCCATGGCTAATGACTCTGGAGGCCTGACTGTCAGGAAGTCTCCCAGGTAACCTGCACAGTGACGATGGCTTGTATTTTCTTAATAAATGCTTATAAAGTGGGAGGCACATAATATAGTGTAAATCAGTGTGGTTTTACAACAAGAATATTTTAATATTGGTATCGAAGGTGT